AATGAAGTTAGTCGAATTCAACTTATAAGATTTTACTCACCGATAGCTGATAGAGGAAACTAAATAAAATGCTGTATGTACCTAAGTAATTTCATATCAAATATACTATATTACTTGAATTCACTATACTTAGGTGATGACACTCAAAATCATGAACCGTGGCAATTTTATTTTTGAGAAAAATATCGGAACAAACGTACTCAAACAGCGGTGTTATGTGTTTGAAAACATTTTCCACGTTCCACGCCAAAAGGCATTTTCTTCTCAAAGTGGAAGTCACGAAATTGTGCGTATAGGGGGTAAATACCTGTGTGCGTTCAAGGTTGTCAACGTGCCAATTGAGGGATCATCCCTGTAAAACATAGTTCTGTGACAGGCAGGTAACAACGCGTGGGTTTTGATATTAGGGATTTCTCTGAAAAATCTCTTTGTAACGTTCATGTTTTCGCCGTATTTTGCGGCTCTGTTATAAGAATAATCAAGTGATTCTATTTATAGTATGCTCCTTGTATAAATAGTCCTCTTTTAAACTCTTATTGGAATTAGTCAGTTTTTCAGAATCGACAATAATAAATATCGTTGTTCAGATAATACTTAAAACCAGAGAAACCTAAAGTTCCAAAATCGGGATCCTTTTACATTGTATGTACAGTTTGTTAATATAATTCCCTTCGTTATTTCCGCAATTCCGCCACACAGATTTTCGTGGTGGCATCCCTGTGCCTGTCGAAAATCTAATATTCTGTCTGCGTTAAAAAGGGTCAACTTGAAATATTCACATTGTTTAGGCAAGTCGCGCCCGGATGGTTATGTCTGCTTCTATATGTACATACGTAACGTAAGCTTACCTTGTCTAAAGCTAGACTGAAATCACAGCCTGGAATGCCTGTTTATATTCAAATTGACTACAATTTTCACTGTTTTCGCTGAAAACCCTGATCATAAGGAGAACAGTCTGGCCCGTATTCCAAGGCTAAGCTTATTAAAATATTAACAGACGTTCACAACTTGATTCAATCTTAGCATACCTAAGCCTGTAACTGACTGAATTTCAATATGTAACGAAACTTTTAGATAATAATACTTAATATGGATAAATTATTAGGTATGTGTAAATATTTTAACTCAAAGGTGACTGACTGACTGACAGTGATTTATCAAAGCACAGCCCAAACCACTGGACGGATCGGGCTGAAATTTGGCATGCAGGTAGATGTTATGACGTAGGCATCCGTTAAGAAAGGATTTTACGAAACTCCACCCCTACGACAGCAAAACGGAATTCACGCGTACGAAGTCGCGGGCGGCCGCTAGATATGTATAATGTTTCCATAATAATGTAGGTACATATTACTGAGGTACTCCAATATTTATTAACTGGAATAATGGTCTTAAAACTCCTTAAGATGTTATGTTATAAAATATTTGAGTCTTTCAAGTCTTACGTTTTGCCTTCAAGTGCTTAACTTACTTAGATAAAATAGTTATTAAACTGTTAGGTTAATACTAGAAAATCTTGTTCCGTTACTGACACTTTTATTAAAGTAAAAACAGCTGAGCCGTCACTCTGCCAGGCTAAAACAGTTTCAATAAGATGTAAAATGTTTTGCTGATGCAATGCATACGTAGAAAACGCTGCACAAAACTGTCATAGCAGAAACCAAAACAGCCAACAATCTAAAAATATAATGTAATAATAATAATAACAAATCTTTGGACAATCTCACACAGCGCCAGCCACCAGATCGTCGCGTCGCCACCGCCAAAGTAAGCAACTTTTAAATGCTTGTGTTATGGGTGCCTAATATTAAATAGTGTATAGTTGTAAATGGTGTAGTTTCATAAGCAGTGGTTTTTAGTCTGCTATTGTTTCACTGTATGTTTTTCGAACAAAATAAAACAAAATATATTCTTTTCAATAAGTACATACATAATTATGTACTTACAACACCCAGACCCGTCACAGAAATTAAAAGTCAAGTCATCATTTCATTTTGCTTGGATAATCCGTTCTGAACCACTACACCGCCGTAGTTTTGGATTACGCCTAAAACATAATTGTTATCATAGAGTGTATTCAAAACTGAAACTTAATATCTATGAGTCACAGCCGTTCTTTCATCCTAGGTAAACATAGAGGCACAAAATATAGAGGTGTACCTTCCAGAGATCAGATTTGACCAGAGAACCAACAATTTTTTGGGACCTGTGAGCTAACTCTCAAACAAGTTTGCTTACGACCTTTAAAATACCTACTGATCATCAATATCCCAACATAATATCGTAGATTAGTACCAGAACACCAAACGGCTTAGTTATGTAGGTACCTACCTAAGTACCTACCATATTTCAAGTTGTGAAAGAACCACTTTTACTAACCTAGGCATACATTCACATGATTAATAGTTACCTGACTGCGCCAGGAGGGTTATGTTTTTTTTTCGAAGTGATATTAAAGGTAGATAAGTATAAAATTATATGTCCTGTTTAGATATGAGATAATTATAGGTTTATTGTTGTTATTACTACTTTAAACTTAACTAAATAATTTAATTTACACGTGTTTTCATGCGATGGCCAAGTCAATATATTTATGTAAAACGTTAAAGATTTCCTGGCCTGGACTTGGTATTACATGGATCTCACAACTTTTTACCGTAAAACAACTGAGTTGCGAGACTTGGTTTTTTTGACAAGTATTGTTTTTGATGGGATCTCATTTCTTTTTGTATTTTGTAGACAGCAGTTATGTATCTAGAAAACTGGACCGAAATTGAAAAATTTTACTCGACTTGGCGGTTGCACTACCGTGCCCCCAAATATTTTAGTTTTTCCTTGATTCATACACCAAACACTACTTATATTCCAAATTTGAAGCTTCAAGGTCTGCTAGAAGTGTCTTAGAATTTTGATGATCAGTGAGTCAGTGAGTCAGTCAGTGAGTGACAAAATTAAGTAACTTTGGCCCGTTATAATTCTTAAACTACTGGTTCAAATTGAATGAAATTTTAAATATACCGTGTCTTTACAATGCCTGCATAGCTAATGAAAATTCAGCCTTCTAGTTTTATCCACAACGAAGTTACAGGCGGTCGAAAATGGCCTGAATTGCTTCGAGAAAAGGATGGTACGGCCGTGCCGCTTTTTTGCTCGACTTGGTGGGGGCACTGCCGTGCCCCCAGATATTAACACGGTGTTGCCGTGATGGTGAAATCAGCAGCATTGCGACTTCCATTCATCTTATAGGTAACCCTACCTTATATTAGCACATTTCCTACTCATATAACCCGCAACCATCGGCATACCAAGTTTTCTTAGCAGTTTCGTTAACAAAAGCTAAAACAGATTATGGTACTCACAGCATGGACATGCTGTTCTTTCTGATCATGGACTAGTGTGGATTTATAGCGCAAAGCACTTGACCGCTTTCGTAGCGTACCTATTGTTAGCTTCCGACCTAGGGTTGCCAACTCTTGAAAGGACCAACCCGGGAGAATTGTGGGGGGGGGGCTTGCTCCATAGTTGCTCCATCACGCTGAATACGCGCTCGAATGAAGCATTAATAGAGACAGGAATGGAAAGAACAAACGTGACCATTTTTTTTAATTTAGGACAGGGATTTCTGTCTTTCGATTTCGTAAAGAAGTCAACACAGCGTAAATCCACTCGATTTTCTTCAATAAGATGTGGTTGCTCTTCACGCAAAAGTCCAAACTCATCGTACAATTTGTCACTATCTATGTCAATATTTAATAATTCCTGGAGTTTAGTAATGCTGGTCCATGTGATTCGTTCTTTTAAAGATAAAATTTATAAACAAGTACGAGCAGCAATGGATGCATTTCATTTTTAGAAATACCGGAGAAAATATTGCTCTCCGGGAGGTCGGGAGGTTAACCATTATTTCCGGAGTCTCCCGGGCAATCCGGGAGGGTTGGGAACCCTATTCCGACCCCTTTCAAGGGGATGGAATAGTAACGTACGAATGTTTGCATTAAATCGGTTTAAGGCACAGATTCCCGCCAAAAAATTATCACCATTAGGTTCTTTTTTACTAGTTAATTATTTTTATTAGGTAAATTATTTTTCTAAAATTATTTCTATACGACGACGGGTCTTTATGACCCACGATTCTCTTTAGGAGCCACCATTATAGGGCATGTCAAGTATAATGTAACCATGTTAAGTACTTCTAACGTTGTTACTATTAGTAGGTACTTATTTAGTTACGTGAGTGTTTGTTTGTCATCTAAAACAAACTACCTATTATAGTAATAGATTATTTTGTTCATTTTTATGTAATGATGTATCGATCGACCGATAATATTGACATTTACATGAAGTATCGACACGATATTAACCAAATGAACCATTTAAACGGCATTATGAGAGTTGGCACGATTTTAATCGTCCAAATAACTGTTTTTAATTACGGCTTTGCACAATTTAGATTTATTACTGCAGTAACTTTGAAAAGGTCAAGTGAAAACAACTAGCAATAGCAGTAGCCTTCTTAATCAAATCTAGGTACCTATTCGCTGATTCATCCCGTTTGAGAGACAAGTAAATAGTCAGGTCAGACATGTTGAAAAAACATTGGGCTGATTGGTTAGGCCTGAGATAGGTAGGCAAACAAATGGAATTACCTCATTTGGTCATGTTGTCAAATTATTACCTATTCATTAGGAAAAGGCTCTAGGTCTTATCTACCATTACATACCATTGGTTATCTAAGTTAAGTCAGGATGCAAAAATAAAATTTTATTTTATTTACCTAATTAGATTACATTTTCGATACTAAACTTTGTTATGTCTAGGACTTATCATTCAATAATTATATGATACCTACTTACTCGTACTTGTTTTTTGACGTCAACAATTCAACATCCTTACTTAAGTAATAATAATAATGAGCTAATTTACACGAGTACGAGGCACGAGTAAAAGATTGCTCATATTATAAATCAAAGTAAACCTGTCTGTATGCGTAAATAAATACCTATCCTTATTCCATAAACTTTGTTTCAGCCGCGCCCATACCTTTTCCCGCGTGTCGCGCTGATAACATTGACTGCCTGCGGCGCGGGCTGCGGACGTTTTTCATCCTCATGGACATGGGTCTGGCCGGCATGAAGGCCGTTGACCCCACGATTGTGGATAGTGTGGCGATTGCGTCACCGGAGGAGCAGATGTCGGTTCTGCTGAGGAGGGCGAACGTCACTGGCGCGAGATGGACGAAACTGGGGGATAGGAGGTACGTTTTTGAGTTTTAAAAGTTCTTAGCAAGCAGCTAAGTAAAGGTTCGGACAAACCAACGCGATCACAGCGCGATCAGCCGGCGTGCAGCGATGGCGATCAATGCATTTAGGTCTGGTCGCCATCGCTGCACGCCGGCTGATCGCGCTGTGATCGCGTTGGTTTGTCCGAACCCTAAATAACGCCTTACTTTTACTTATTTTAAACTAGCTTTCCGCCCGCGGCTTCGCCCGCGTGGAATTTTGTCTGTCACAGAAAAACAATATCGCGCGCGTATTTGCTCACCGTTTAGACCTACCCTGGACTACGACAAACATTTTAAAACCAAAATCAGCTCAATCGGCCCAGCCGTTCTCGAGTTTTAATCAGACTAACGAACATCAATTCATTTTTTTTATATAGAAGATATAGACAACTGACCTTATAAGTTGTCTGGAAGAGATCGCTAAATAGCAATAAGACCGCCTAAATTGTCTTTCTTTTCTTGTTTTGTGTGATGTGTACAATAAAGTACTTAGGTACTCCTACTTAAATGTTTATCTATCCATCTAAATAGTAACCATCTTGTAAAATCAGCATTGTTCGACGATGCCCTTTTCGTAGGTAGGTCAGAAAAGATTTGTTTTGTTTACAGATAGGTCTGATAGCAAAATTTTTATTTATTATTAATTTATTTAATACATTTTGTAATATTATTAATAAATAATATCGTATTATGAAACTATAAGGACTAAGATCTTTTCGAGTAAGTAGAAGGTGGTCGCCTATTTCAAATCTTTCCATCACCGGGGGTGTAACTCAGTGGTAGAGTGTCTGCTTCGCATGCTGAAAGTCCTGGGTTCAAATCCCAGCACCTCCAAATGATATGTTTTTGTTATTTTTATTTTATATTTTTACATTGTTTATTTTTAGTTAGTGTTCGAGTGTAAGCACCACCTAACTTTGACCATAACTTTAACGATAACCGGTGTTTTTTTGTATGGAGTTTGACAGATTTTTGACGCTAGTCAAAGTTAAAATAAGATGGTGCATTTTAGAAGTAGGTACTTAAGTAATGAGATAACAAGTCAAGCAGTTAGTAGTACCTACCTAACTAGTAAGTATCTACACTAGGATGTGTTTAAGTTAGTAATTATGTTAAGGACAAAATACTACAGCATTCTGTGTACGTTTCACTTCAAGGCCCTTCAAGGGACGACATCGAGCTACGGAAGCTATTTAGACGTACTCGTAGCTACCTACTTTTTATAAAACTGGTTAAGTGGGAATGACTCGCACTCCGAGAATTCCATAGCAAGGCCGATTGTTGTTTACTTTTGAGTAGGCTTATTTGTTTTTAATTTCTTTTCGGTTCAAGTCAAAAAAGTCAAAAGTCAAAATTTCTTTATTTGTTTAGACTAATAAATAGTTCTTACAAATCGTCATTTTGCTCTTAAGGAGCCTCTACATGTCTCATAATCTTTTTACCCTACCAGCGCTTCGAGAGCAAGTGCTGAGAAGAAGCGCCGCAACAAACTCAGTCACCACTGTCTGCCGGTTAATATAAATAAATATAAATAGTAGTAGTAGGTACATTCGATTCAGGAGCAGTTCACTGAATTTACCATGTATTCTTGTATGGTGTATCTTATAAGAATGGGTATACAAGATTGCGTGGTATATTAAACAAGGTAGTGACGTGCTAATATCTAGACTTACATATTATGATAAGTACTAGTAGAAATGACTCGCATACATAAATTTGAACAGGTAACTTGGATTGACCAGTCCCCGAAAGCAGCGCCTGTTCACAGACATGACGAGTGAACCAGCCATCGCTTCACCAAGGCATTATAGGCTAGAATACAAAAACGTTAATTCCTAGTAAAGTGTCATTACTTTAATAAACTTTATTACCTACTACGCGTAGTAGGTAGGTATAGTGCTCAGATCATAGAAGGGAAGTATAGTGAATAGTGATCGGGAAATGTTTGTCACTCAAAAACATTAGCTAATACAATGTATTTTTTGTAAGTGGACATTGTAAAATTGTAAAAAAGCGCTATGTTGTGAGATATGGGAATTCTGAGATACCTATGACGAGTCTAAGTTGAAAATATATTTGTCTAAAATGATTTGATATTTTTACATGTTATGTTGTTTGGCATTGCAGAGTAACCAATAAAATTAAATAAAATAATATAAATAAATAAAAAATATAAATAAATAAAATATTATAAATACTTAAATTAATATTCGAAAACATCTCATATATTACTCCAACCCAAAATAAGTAGCTAAGGCATTTGTGTTATGGAAATCGGGAACGACGAACCCAAACCAGAGACAATGTGAAAAGATCGTTTTCTATATTGTCCCGGCCGGGGATCGAACCCGGGACCTCAGGATTGGCCCGGCACACCTTGAAAACCGGTGTGTGCGCCTCTCCGCCACGGAGGTCGTCAAAAATGTTACCTAAATGTAAAATAAAATAAAATATTAAAACTTCATTTTCTCAATATTCCCATATAAGAGAGAGAAAAAAAATGCACGGAAATTCATTGGATATTAGTATGTATCATCTGTGATAGGTTTCGTTTGTGTCCGCTACTTTTCGAAAAGTGGGGCAAAAAGTTCCCAATGTCATTTAATAATAAACACTTAAAATGAACTCGTAAATTGCATTCTTATTTAAAATTATTCATGGAAAACATTGCTTTTAGGCTTTACTTGCTATAATATTATCAAGACATGAGTGCCATGACTGTGCCAGTATCTACTAAATGTATGGAAACTGGAAACTTTAAATTTTCGGATAGATCCAGTTTATTTTGTAACATTATTGTTGGTACTGTTGGATAGAGCTCATGAAGCACTTTCAGGATCAGTAACCAGTTTTTGGATATCTTGTATAGTTTAGAAATAATCGAATGAGATCACTTATCGTTTCCACCCTGTAGGTAGGTGCTAGGTAAGATAACTAGGCTTATTCAATATAAGTAATTTTAGAGACAAAATAATGCTTGTTGTAGCACAGAACCACGGTTTTCCGAAAACCGGGGAGAAATATCCAGCCACAAAATAGGGGACCGACTCTTTTGCGCTGGACCCCTGATACTGTTAGTACGAAACATTCTACATACGTTTCCGAACTTATTATTCGCCTGACACGAAAATGAAGTAGTAAATTGCGCTGGGAATGGGGGAAATAGAAGAAGGAAGCAAATCACGACGTGACCTCGATGCTAGCGGCTGTTTGCCGTGATGTTTGTCAATAAACTGAGATGCGCTGTGGAAAAAACATGGAGGATTTTATTTTTTTTAACGCAACTTCTGACTTCGGTTTGGATTAGATTTCCGTAGTCTCGAGATACACGCGTTCGAGATTGTAAACTGTATCGATTCTCGTTTGCTTTGAGTGGTTAACATGTATCTAAGCTTTCTCAGCTTCAATTAAGGATAACAGGTTTATTCAATACTAAGCTATTTACAGACATGGGTGATATGTCTGAAAATAGAAATACTTACCAAGGGTTATGATATGGAAGGTAGGTAGGTAAATGTTCCACCTTGTAAGTAGGTAGTAAACAGGAATAGAATACTGTGATCTGAAGATCACTCAGAAAACCTTTGTTAGTAAATCGAACCCGGGACCTCTTGCGCTCAGAGCATCAAGCGCCACTGCACATGCGCTTACGATCGAGCGGTATTTCTTCAAAAATTTGGTTAATGAAGAACAAACATATTTTTTTATTTAAGTACCTACATGAAAGTATCTACCTACGTAAGGAGGCCTATACCTATTGTGTGATAGTGATAGAATGTACCTTGGAAGTACCACTTATTTCAATTAGATAAAACGTTGTTAATACCTACCTAATTAGTAGATGACAAAATTAACTATTAAATTGTACTTTTTACATTTGAATAAAGCAGTATGCATTCCTGCCGTTCTGCACTGCACACAGCGTTTAATTACCTGCTATTAATTAAAATTTTACTTTGACAGATTCAACCTCGACGGTGGCAAAAGTGGAACGGTATTCATAAGCGATCTCCACGTCTCCGGCGACATAAGCCTGACCATGGGCACAAGGGTCGATCCCTTCAGCGCACACATAACTATGGATATCAGTAAGTTCATTTGCATGCAAATCGGACCGGTGTTATGCAATCTTGATGTCACACGAAATTAGCCACGCAGAGGCAATGACACGCGCTTGAGATATTGCTTCGACAGGAGCTAATAAGCATAGCTGGGCACCGTTAATCAAATAGTTAACTTCTTTTTTAATTATTATAATTTTATTTTACACTTTTTAGTAGTATCTCAATCTCAGAGCCTTGACTTAATTACAATACAATTTAGCACCAAAGTGCTCGAAAATACAAATCCAGCAAACCCAAACTCAAGTACCTACTACGGTACTAAAGTGCTCGAAAAGACAAATCCAACGAACCCAAATTCGATGATATGCCGCCGTTTCATTTAGGAGTTCCTATGGCCACCTCATGACTCCATCATCAGACCAGCTCAATGGCACCATAACATTGCATTGTCCTTACATAAGATACCTTTCAGCTCAATCGGTTGAGGAAAACTGGTCTTAAATTCAGTTGCAAGAGTTGTCCCACACATACTAACAAGTAAATGTCGTTAGTGATCTGGTTACAAAAACTGTTGTTTTGGGTTCTGGAAGTTCTGGAAGCCCGAAAGTACTTGTCAGAATGCGTTTGTCAGCGTGCCTGCTGTATCTTTTTGGTAAATGGTAGGTACTGGATTAACGATTAACGGACTTAGGATAATTTAACGGAAGTTAACGAGTCCGTTAACATTTTTTAAAGTTAACTTAAAAGTTAATCCGTTAATAGAAATGTTAACTTCATTAATTAACAATTAACGGATTAACGAGTTAATGCCCAGCTATGCTAATAAGACTAAATTCCTACCACTAGATATGTCGGAAAGTAAATGCAATTAAGTCCCGAGCTCAATAACAGTCCGAAACCTTAAGAAAGCTGGCAGTGGCTGAAAGAAAAAAGCGGGAAATCGTTTATTCTTGGGATTGCCAAATCTATACATTTATTTAGTAGTGGACTGCCATAGGCTTAAATTATGATGATTATGAAAAACAGAGGAAAGCGAAACAGAGAAATTGATAGGTACAGCTAGGTTTCCGTAGCGTATAGAGGTAGATACGTTTCTCAAGAGATAGATACTAAACTAGATTGTTTTAGATCGCGTTAATTTCTCGGTAAATGTAAGTAGTATTTAGGTAGACAGGTACACTAGTAATGGCGTCGGAAACTCCAGGATCGAGAGTGTACGTTGTTTACATACTTATTCTTCTTTCAGCCAAATGTTGTAGTGGCAGTTACTAACAAAGTACCTAATACAGAAAGTGGTGTAACTTGGTTAACTTTCAAGGAACTGGCTAAAAACCAAGCTACATTTTCTGTTTACGGCGGGCAGAACATTTACACTAAGGTTGTCTGTTTAACCTGGAATATTTGATGGTCAGTTACATTAGCTATAGCATTCTGTCTTTCATTCTCGCAATTTTCAGTTTCTTACAAACTTGCAGCAAGAAAGAATTAACTATGAAACTTTCAAACCCCAGTAAAACTAAGCTAAGGTGAATACTTACTGCTCTAATAAATGACTTACGTTAATAAGTAAAAGCAAACGACAGTGATATACCTATCCAGTTGTTATTTTAATTGGGTACTTAAGCAAAGCTAATGTTGCATGAGATTATCACGTAAGTATATCCCTCTAAAACTAGTAGGTAAGTACTCATCTTGTCCACTGCTGCAAGCAACTAATTACAAATGTTCTTCATACAAAGTTGGAAGTAAGTCCCCTTTAGAACAATTGCATAGCAGTTAGTAAGTTAAACTAGTAATTAAACACAGGGTTCAAGTTTAAAGACGTTAAACGTGTCTAAATTATATTATGCTGGTGCCTTCCCAAAACCGGGCGGAAGGAACGAAGCGACACGACAATTCGCATACCTTCGTTAAAGTTTCTATTACAAAGTTGCAGGTTGGCTGGCGGTTGGCGTAGATAAGGGACTTACTTAGACACTTCGAGTGTAAGGCAGTGAAACCCCTATAATAATTACATTTTCAATAATTTAACCGCAATTTCAGGAATGCTAGCCTCAGTTAATTGGTATAACTAATCAAAAATAACTTTGTTTCCCTTTTTGCGTGAGTGTTAATTTGTTACGACTTTTTATTCATCCTCCTACATTACACGGTTACCGCATACCGGAAAATATGAAGGCGTTAAGGCTTTTCAAACAAATCTATTCCTCCCTGTACACACTCGGATACAGTTTTCACCCCAGATTGATGTCACCGGTTTATCGCGAGACTTAAAAACCATCACTCAGGGGGTTAACGTATTTCACTTGCCCCTCTGTGCCGAAGAAGAATGAAGCTATGTGCGGTTCTTGGTCGAAGGTTTAAGTTCAGCTAAAGCTCAGCCGTATTCCATACAATGTTGCTACTTGCGCTTTAGGTAATTTCTCTGATTTAATTTTTTGTTGTTATTACAAAGATAACAGGCGAAATATATCTTTTATTCCAAGAAATAAAACAAAATTAACACTTAAATTGTTTGTTTTTTTTTTTAAGTAGGTATGACCTAGGTTCTTGAAAGCAACCCCACATTTCTGACATAGCACTCTGATTTGTGTTTATAACTTTGTTTCATTCGGAAGGCGCATTGAAAACGTGACGGCCATTTATTTAAACCTAACGACAATCGGAATTAGATAAACGAATTGTTCGAAACGTGAGCGGATATTTGTAACGTTGCTTTTTCGAAAGCCTCTTTAAGTTCTTTAACGAGACCTCTCTTCTCTATAGATTTCACTACTTTATGTAGGTATGTTAGGTCGATTTAAAGATTTCGGAAATCCTTATCACGTAGCACTTGGTTCTTAAGCCTACAATGAATACATATTGCATGTTTCTTTAAACCAATTCTGTGTTTCAGTGGAAGTGCAGAGCAACATAACTTATCCCTGGAGCGGTGAGAAGGGCATCGACAATGAGGACTACATCCTGATAGGACCTGAGCGAATTGCTATCAGAAACACGAGAACACCGACATTCTTCTTACAACCAAGTAACTAATTAATACATAATATTAACAACTTTAATTAAACTTCCATATTATTATCCATTTGTTACCATTTACATCGGAAAATTACCCTTATAAAGTTTCTTTAAAAAGTTGCTTAGGTATTCTCATAATTTTCGTCTTATGCACAAAAGATAAAACAAATATTAATTACGTATTACTTAAGCCAGAAATTTTTTTAAACTTTCAGACTACAATATTACCTGGTAACTTAATTTATTCAAGAACTTGCTAGTTTTTATTGGTTTCTACCATCACGTTCACGTAGTTACGAGAGAAAAATGCCCATTACGCAAATTAGGGCGCTTCACGCAGATTTAATTAATTAGTATGTAGGTATGTACTAGCTTACCTTACTACCAAACTTGATCTTCACTGGTTGGGTTTTTATTGGCAGTCAAGCTGTAGATCCTGGCTAAGGAGTTGCAGCGATGGGAACGAAAGGTGGGAATAGTCCTGTAGCCATACTTAGCTATTAAAAAAATATTAATAACAAAGATATAAACTTCAGAGCCATGTGAAAATTTTTAAAGATATTCTAGGTCAAAATCCAGCAGCAACCAAGTAAAGTAGTTCTTTTTTGGAAAGTGACAGGAACAATAGCAATTACCAACCTTTTCAACATTTTAATGAAATATCACATTTTTAACTGATTAATATTTTTTTACAGATGATGAAGACACAGCAGTTATCAATGAACTCCTACTAGCCAGGCCAGCCATTTTAGATCATTTATCAAATGAAATCACAGCAGCACTGATGCATACTGTTGTGGACAATTTTAGACTTTTTGCGAGCAAAGTTCCAGTAAAATATTATTATGAATACTACTAAAAATGTGTTTTATTTCATGTTATCGTCTTTAACAAGTGCCTAATATTATAAAATTAGAAGCTTAGTCACTCATAACACAAACACAACTTAATTTTAAAACTTATTGGGAAGGAATATGGTAGGAGTTTTACCACACATACCTATTAGTGTAAGTTTAAAAGAAACTGAAATAAACTTCATAATTTTATGTATATTGATCGAGACAGTCTTGGAATTTCAATAATCGAAATACATTCATAACAGCCTTTGAGAATGGGAAATCTCACATTATTGCATATTGTCTTACAAAATGTTTAACACTGCACTTGATAAAGTCTTAAAATGCATCACCAAGGGATTCTTCCATAAACTTTTTGTAGATAGCCATAAACTTGGCAACAAATGCTTCTAGATGGAAAATAGGTTTGTTTCCAAGTCTCATTCTATGTTCATACATTGCAGCATGACTGGCCACTTGACACTTCATCGCCATATCACAGTTACGAACCAATTCTTTCAGCAGGCCTGCAAACACCATATCAGGAGGGACACCATGTATTATCAACTCATACAGCTTCTGTCTAACTTCCCCTAGTTTTTTTGGAGATTGCTCAGATAAAATCATAGAAGCAGTTTCTCTGATAAATTGTTGCCAATCTGGTTCTGGAACCTTTTGATCTGCAGTAAATGGGTATTGTTGGACTTTGCATGCTTCACACATAAGTAACGCACGTCGCAAATTGCGATCAGCACATTTGGCTATACGCATTGCCAACTCGGATGGCAGACTTAATCCTTCTTTCTTACAAACCAAATGTAGAACGGATGAAATCTCAGTTTCTGTAGGTGCTGGGACTCTTATTGTTAGACAACGTGACCGAATTGCTGGAATAACTCGTGATATCGAATTAGCAATGAGTATCAATCTACAAGTAGCTACATACTTCTCCATAGTTCGGCGTAACGCATGCTGTGCGTCTTTGGTGAGGTCATCAACTTCATTCAGAATAACAACCTTAAATTCCCGCTGGCCTGATGAATCAATTTGATGTGTCTGGGCTACATTCTTCACTAAATCCATGATAACAACACGATCGTGTATTCCTACATCAGTTGGGTTAACCTCAATGTGGTAATTACTACTTACAGTCATAATTTCAATTTTCTTGTTCGATGGGGTGGTAAAGTTCATCGTTTCTTGCCTTAGGCGTTCCACGCCTGAACCATACAATTCTCTCAGCAAGCACATAATACGTGTTTTCTTACCGGCACCAGAGGGACCGTATATCAGCAAATGTGGGAAATCACTTTGTTGCACTAAACTCTTTAGCCGGACTGCTTGATCTTTATGAAAATCTAGTTTCATAAGATCTCTAGGTCGGTGTTTATCCACCCACAGACTCATGTTTTAATATTTTGATGCAGAAAATCAACAACAAAACAACTGTTCACCAAAGTAGATTGAAATGTCATCAATGTCAAGCCAAAAAAATTGGCGCGAATTAACGTTTAGAAATAGCTCGCCCGTGGTGTGAAATTTCTGTTTCTCACAATACTTTCTCCGAGAACTTTTTATAGCTTTAGCTACACTGCTACGCTGAATCTATCCTCTATTTCTCAACCTATCCTCTGCATAAATAATTGGAGTTTTGCAGCAATAACTTTTTTATTGCCTTATTATAACTTTTTTAAACTGTGGTGTTCAAAAAAGAACGTTCAGAAACTGAACTGAAAGTGTTCCGATTTGATCATAATACGTTTTAAGTTAGATTAATAAAACCTAGATGGATAGTCTTCATACAAACGCTTCGTCAAGAGTGAGGCAAAAATCTTATGTCATTAGTGTCAATTTTGTTGGGGAGTGTAGACAGTGAAGGCGATTTTCCCGAAAGTAGGGAAATTTTTAATACGTTTTTAATTATTTTATAACTAACAAAAACAAAACGCATCATGTACTTATTTATTTATTGAATTCAAAGTACCTACCTAATTACAATAAGATAAATCGACTGAAAAGTCTCGATTTCATAAAAAAGGAAGTGTCTTTGTACGGCGAACAATTGGGAAATAAATTTTCTTATTACTGGTATCATTCCCGTATTTAATTTTTGAAAGCCAAATTCAAGCAAAATACGCGTCGAATCGTAGTACTTACTTATGAAATGTAACACTGGTCACTTTCTTTAGTTTTTCTGATGTATTTAGACACCCTTTCACAGCACAAACCGTCTTAATTAATTAAAAGTCGTCGGACGTGTTTACCAATTTTTCACTTTGACAGTTCATGTGACGTTTACGAGTAAGCCATTCTGGCTTACTAAAATCTGCCTCACCTTTCGTGCACTGACTATCTATCTAGGTTTTATTAATCTAAGCTTAGATTAATAAAACCTAGATGGATAGTCTTCATACAAACGCTTCGTCAAGAGTGAGGCAAAAATCTTATGTCATTAGTGTCAATTTTGTTGGGGAGTGTAGACAGTGAAGGCGATTTTCCCGAAAGTAGGGAAATTTTTAATACGTTTTTAATTATTTTATAACTAACAAAAACAAAACGCATCATGTACTTATTTATTTATTGAATTCAAAGTACCTACCTAATTACAATAAGATAAATCGACTGAAAAGTCTCGATTTCATAAAAAAGGAAGTGTCTTTGTACGGCGAACAATTGGGAAATAAATTTTCTTATTACTGGTATCATTCCCGTATTTAATTTTTGAAAGCCAAATTCAAGCAAAATACGCGTCGAATCGTAGTACTTACTTATGAAATGTAACACTGGTCACTTTCTTTAGTTTTTCTGATGTATTTAGACACCCTTTCACAGCACAAACCGTCTTAATTAATTAAAAGTCGTCGGACGTGTTTACCAATTTTTCACTTTGACAGTTCATGTGACGTTTACGAGTAAGCCATTCTGGCTTACTAAAATCTGCCTCACCTTTCGTGCACTGACTCTCTATCTAGGTTTTATTAATCTTAGGTTATAAGTATGTTCTTCGCCCAGTAAAAGTTGATCAGTTGAGGCGATCAACCTCATTCTATGTCCTGACTCCTGCGTCATGATGATCATTCTATGATCAACACACAAGTAAATATAAATAAAGTTAGAAAATGAGTTGAGGTGAACACATGTACACATATGAAATAGAAATAAAGAAAGAAAGAAAAATGTTTATTCAGTATCATCGACAATACATAGCTAACTTACAATGTGTTTGAATACAGAATACTATAATCACATTTTTATTTTGTGTAATGTGTACATGATGAGTAGCTGATTTCGGAACACCCACAGATATGGATTAGAGTAGATACAGCAAGTTGATCGTCAAAGCGTGCCATTCCGATATGTCCAAATGGACATACATGGTCGAGTGATGTTCAAGTAATCCGATTACAACAATCGGTTACGATGATTTTACGAGGACAGTAGTACGAACACGGTAGAAAGAAGAAATTATTTACGGATTGAGAATTGTAATTAAAAGCACTAGTAACAAATAATTAATTAGAATAAAGTAGCAGTAGAAGAAGTATAAAGTAGCATTGTTTTTAATACATATCCTGCGATGTACTCTTAAGAGTTAAAACCATGGTCCCTGTATGTGGTGCACTCATACCGATCCCAAGGAACCGTACTTACTCATAACAATAAGACACACACTGATGCATGTATTCATGCACTTGACAAATTTATGTCTTGAAACGCTGGTAGGGTAAAAAAAATAACGAGATTTGACGATTTGTAAGAATTAATTTATTTTAAAAAGGTAAATAAAGATGTTTTTGGTTTTGTATTTAACAAATTATCAGTTTTATCGGAATTAATTAATTTTCGAATCGAGTCACACGATATCATTCGATGACTTTGCAAATGCAGTACGATGATACGATTACTTTTACGTTGCGGCAATCACTAAAATTCGCTAAAATGACACTAATGACGTTTAAAAAGTGGCACGCTCGGCTTCATACAATTTTTGACACATGCTGCATCTATCCATATCTGTGGGAACACCATAGAGAAAAGTAATACATAGGGGAACACTACCATTGATCAAGGCACAGATATGGATTAGAGTAGATACAGCAAGTTGATCGTCAAAGCGTGCCATTCCGATATGTCCAAATGGACATAGAATACATGGTCAAGTGATGTTCATGTAATCCGATTACAACAATCGGTTACGATGATTTTACAAGGACAGTAGTACGAACACGGTAGAAAGAAGAAATTATTTACGGATTGAGAATTGTAATTAACAGCACATGTAACAAATAATTAATTAGAATAAAGTAGCAGTAGAAGAAGTATAAAGTAGCATTGTTTTTAATACATATCCTGCGATGTACTCTTAAGAGTTAAAACCATGGTCCATGTATGTGGTGCACTCATACCGAACCCAAGGAACCGTACTTACTCATAACATTAAGACACACACTGATCCATGTATTCATGCACTTGACAAATCTATGTCTTGAAACGCTGGTAGGGTAAAAAAAATAACGAGATTTGACGATTTGTAAGAATTAATTTATTTTAAAAAGGTAAATAAAGATGTTTTTGGTTTTGTATTTAACAAATTATCAGTTTTATCGGAATAAATTAATTGTCGAATCGAGTCACACGATATCTTTCGATGACTTTGCGAATGCAATACGATGATACGATTATTTTTACGTTGCGGCAATCACTAAAATTCGCCAAAATGACACTAATGACGTTTAAAAAGTGGCACGCTCGGCTTCATACAAATTTTTTCACATGCTGCATCTATGATGACCCACGCTGAACTGTCCCACCAAACTCAATGACAGGGGGGCGCTACCATCGTTCAATTATATGGTTTCCAACATGGCAAAAATCTGAACCAGCGATCCGGTATTGACGGTGGCGCCCCACTGTCAATGTCATCGACATGAAGCTAAAGATAAAAATGGAGGCCAGACTTAGAATACCTACTTGAANTAGCTTCATGGTCATCGACAGGACAGTCCAGAGCCCCGATTACGGTAACTTTTAACGTTTCCAATCCAGACGCGCTTCTGATTCTGCGATACGATTGGTCGTTCAACAGCGTACGTCAGCTGTTTTGACCAATCGTATCGCAGAATCGAGAAGCGTGTCTGGATTGTAGACGTTAAAAATTACCGTAATCGGGGCTCTGTATTTTGGAACTATATCCATATCTGTGGATCAAGGAATGTTGGATCGGCTGTGGACCTGTCATTACTGTCAATTGTGCACTGTAGAGATGGGCGATTGTTACTCCAACAATCGAATGGATTGAATAACTACTATAATTATAATATATTAAGAATCAAATAATAAAAATCGAATGAAACCACTAGTACATAAATTCACATTGCCAAACAAAATTGGTCTTTTTCGTTCTCAAAATAAAGTCGAGCAATCGAATAATTCAAACATTTAAACTCTGATTTTTAATTCGACGGAATTTTGACATTTCAGAAGTGTTGTTAACACTGAAACATTCCCACTAAGAATGGAGAGCATTTTCATAAATTAAAAAATAATCCTTTCTTGAATTTAAGGTTTCACTTGAAAAACTAAGGCTTAAAAATGTACCGATCATTTCAAAATGGTTATTTGAATTTTTATTATCATACTTTTGAAGTTACAAAAAAAATTGGGAAATTATTTTTCTATTACTGGTCTCCCTGGCCAATAATCCATGGGTTACAAACCTTTTTTATGAAAATCCTTTTGTTAATAAAATCTTAGCTTCATAAAATAATCAACTTAACAAGATGCCAATTTTATAATCCAAGTTGATTATGACGATAATGATGATTGATGATCAATACATATTTTCGTTTATGATAATATGTTGTTTTACTACGTTTAAAACACGTTTTTTTCTATTTAATCTCTAAAATGTACATAATAATTAGTGTTCATTGAATTCACAAAACAAAAAATAGTTCATTCTTGTAAATTGTACTTGATGAAATTTCATTTCATATTATTTATTAATAATTCAAAGCAAAAAAGGCTTATTACATCTGAATTGTCAAAAAATGACAGCTGTCAGAATTCCGTCGAATTAAAAATCGGACTTTGAATTTTTATTATCATACTTTTGAAGTTACAAAAAAAATTGGGAAATTATTTTTCTATTACTGGTCTCCCTGGCCAATAATCCATGGGTTACAAACCTTTTTTATGAAAATCCTTTTGTTAATAAAATCTTAGCTTCATAAAATAATCAACTTAACAAGATGCCAATTTTATAATCCAAGTTGATTATGACGATAATGATGATTGATGATCAATACATATTTTCGTTTATGATAATATGTTGTTTTACTACGTTTAAAACACGTTTTTTTCTATTTAATCTCTAAAATGTACATAATAATTAGTGTTCATTGAATTCACAAAACAAAAAATAGTTCATTCTTGTAAATTGTACTTGATGAAATTTCATTTCATATTATTTATTAATAATTCAAAGCAAAAAAGGCTTATTACATCTGAATTGTCAAAAAATGACAGCTGTCAGAATTCCGTCGAATTAAAAATCGGACTATAGTATAATTGCCTATCTCTAGTGCACTGTCATTACTGTCAAATTAGATGCTTTTTCTTTTTGCTTGCTTTGCTTGCAATTTTGCAAAATTCGATTTGCATTTTCAACATTTGGCATTCAACAGTATACACGCTGGATAATGTAAAAAGTAATTAATAATTGATTGATACTGTTGCTTGTGTGCAGTTACAACAAACGTAATATTGTTAAATCGACCGTGAGTCTGAGAGACAAAGTTTGTACCAAATTAATCAACATGAAGCTATTTTTTTTATTTAAAATCATTTTGTGGTTTTGCTCGATTCGTGCGGAAGAATACAATTTATCCGGTGATGCCGGCCAAGCGTACTCAATAGATATTCTTATGGGACACCCTAAACAAAAGGTATGGAAAAAACCTTGTAATATTATTTTCTCTCTTTGTTAATGTAAGTTTTGTATTATTATAGATAGAACACACTTTATTCTACACAAGACAAAAAGAGAATGAAATACACAAAAAAGCTGGCACAAATTATTTACTTATTACATTAACATTTTCATTACAGCTTCGAGTTATTGTTGATACTGGTAGTACAACGTTGGCTATAGCTTCTTACGCACGGCGTGAAAATGACGAATATTTTCATGTGGATAACTCCACAACATTGGACGACAGCGGCAAGGAGGTTTGTTATTTTTAACAGATTTAATTCAAACTTCTTATTCTTCAACTATACCATCTTCCAACAAGATCTGAGACAGCTGTAACTTTGATAGGAACGAACAAGTTAGATAACAGTTACTAACATGTTATTTAATATTAAATCACAGTAGGTATTTGCTTAACTGATAAGATAGCTGTTGTTTGTAGTTTTGAAGCTAGGAAGTTGTAATTTGATAAAAGTTTGGTATCTTTTTGTTTTATTTATTACTAGAAACATTTACCTACCACCACCTTTAAATTTTTACAGGTTCAGGCGAAGTATTCACAAGGCAATTGGATAGGACATTATGTGACAGATTTTGTTGAAATACCATCATTGAAGAATATTCGAGAAGTAAGATCAGATTTTGCAATTATAACAAAGAGTCACAAGTTCTTCGTGAATGGATCAGGTTGGCAGGTATGGTTTATTCTTGCTCTGAAATATTCTTATCATTTTACTTTTTCTGATCATTTTAGTTCATAAATACCTACTGGTAGTAATTTCAGAGAAGTCCTTAATTCATCTGATAATAGAAATACACAAGGATGTATAAAATGTGGTTATTATCTAACTTATGTAAATTCATAATAATGCAAATTTAAATTACTAAAATGTGAGATTTGCTCTTTGTTCTGCAAAACAATTGTGTTATCTCTGGTACTTTCAGAGTCTGAAGTACCTAAGCTAAGTGAAGCAAAGCAAAGAGAAGCGATTGTCTGAAGTTCCCTCCACTAAAATGAAGTTAATAAGATTTATCTAAGTTCTGTAAATGTGTTCTCAATGCTTTCTGTAATAAGGTAGTTTATGTATTAACAATTTATTTTATGTTTTCAGGGTCTTCTCGGCTTGGCATACGAACCAGTAGGGGCGTGGGGAGAGCATGTTATAGTTGGATCTTGGTTGGACTCCCTTGAATGTGATTTGGGCAAAAGTGTCAGCTTTGAATTGAAATTGTGCGGAGTTCAAAGCACAACTAATGCTACTCACTATGGAAAGTTTTCTATGATAGGTTTGTACATAATTTGTGAATAGATATAAGTGGTTGCATGTATTGTGCCATTTAGAATCACATATACTGTAAAATACTGTGTTAAAGATATTTCAATAGCACACCACAATAAAACATTCCTGTAATCCTGTCATCATCACCATCATTTCAGCTACAGGACGTCCACTGCTGAACATAGGCCTCAATGACTTCCACATCGCGCGGTTGGTAGCGGTCTGCATCCAGCGCCTTCCTGCTACCTTTATCAGGCCTGTACGCTTGTACCTGTACTCTATCTATTGAAATCTTTTATCATTGATACCATATTTTAATGGGACGTGGTACGTGGGACGTCCACCCACAAGGTGGACCAACGACATCATAAAGGTAGCAGGACAGAACTGGATGCAGGCCGCTACCAACCGGGTAACATGGAAAGCATTGGGGGAGGCCTATGTTCAGCAGTGGACATCCTATGGCTGAGATGATGATGATGATGATGACCATATTTTAATGCTAAAATTGATTTTAAATTTCAGTTGATGAGAATATACCAAATAACACATCTCCGTTTCGAACACCAATTCTCCACAAGCGATGGTATGAAGTTGGCGTTCTTGCAATCGGCATCAGGCATCCAAATGAGACTTTGAATAATTCAATCACACCTGACACATTTGTTTCCGATAACCCTAATGAAGAAATGTGCCAGAAACTCAATCAGCAGAAAAGTATTGTTGACAGTGGTACTACTGATATTAGATTACCAGATGAAGTATACAGAGAGGTAAGATTAATTACTATAGTAATTTGTTAACACAGTAAAAATTAAGTCACCATCTGTGTAGATTTCTCACTGTACGAGCCAGCTCTGTACTTCTAGGAATCTACCATCATTGAAGATTCCGCGGAGTGGGCCTGGTGACCTGTAATACAGAATTTCTTAAAATCTATCTACAATAGGCACCAGCTCTCACAATGCTGATCTATTGTTAAATAGATATATTATCCGAAATGTTTTTCCTAAATTACTGATCTGTTGTGAGAGAAATAAAAAATAAATAAATTAAAGCTGTATCAACAAGATCCTAGCCTGCCTAACCATGTGGGGAGTATATGCTTAAGTCCACTTGCCACTCAACTAATTGTGTATGTTATAAAGATGTTATGCATGTATGAATGAATTTTTTTTCCTATTTTTTAGTTGGTGCACAAATTAAGGCAAGAGTCCCAGGCACTGAACATGCTAATATTAGATGAATTTTGGTATCATGGTGAGGTAAGTTACTTTTTGATTGTTAAAATTTGTAAGGTATTGGAAATCTATAACTAATATTATAAAGAGGGAAAGTTTGTGTGTTTGTATATTTGTTAAATTGTAAGGGGTAATCTCAGGATCTACTGAACCGATTTTAAAATTCTTTCATCAAAATAGAAAGCCACATTATCGATGAGTGTCATCTACACTAATATTATAAAGAGGAAAACTTTGTTTGTTTGGTTGTAATGAATAGGCTCAAAAACTACTAGACCGTTTTTAAAAATTCTTTCACCATTTGAAAGCATCCACGAGTAACATAAGCTAAATTTTATTTTGGAAAAAAATAAGCGGGTCCACTATCTACACTAATATTATAAAGAGGAAAACTTTGTTTGTTTGGTTGTAGTAATGAATAGGCTCAAAAACTACTGGACCGTTTTTAAAAATTCTTTCACCATTCGAAAGCTACATTATCCACGAGTAACATAGGCTAAATTTTATTTTGGAAAAAACATAGGGTCCAGGGGTCTACGCGCGCGAAGCCGCGGGCGGTAAGCTAATCCCAACTAATATTATAAATGCGAAAGTAACTCTGTCTGTCTGTCTGTCTGTCTGTCTGTCTGTCTGTCTGTCTGTCTGTTACGCTTTCCCGCTTAAACCTCACAACCGATTTTGATGAAATTTGGCATAGAGATAGTTTGAGTCCCGGGAAAGAACATAGGATAGTTTTTATCCCGGTTTTTGAAACAGGGACGCGCGCGATAAAGTTTTTCTGTGACAGACAAAATTCCACGCGGGCGAAGCCGCGGGCGGAAAGCTAGTAGGCTATAAAATGTAGTCCACGCGGCCGAAGCCACGGGCGCAATCAATGTGTTCAATCTGTTTAGACTTGAACCCATTGTTTTCGGTACTTTAATGCAAGACTATATTTTTAGGCAGCTTGCTGGCCCGAGCCTCAAGAGTGGTTAGCGCTGCCGTGGCTTCAAATTGCCCTACTGAGCGATGTCGCTGACAACCAATACTTCACTTTGGAGATACCGCCTCAGGTAATACTAATTTCCACTATAATATACTGTGGGTAAATGGATATTATTATCCATTAGGTAAAAACTGACACTCATGCTAAACACGCATTTAATAAGAAATCGCCATTTGACGGCGACGTTACACCTATGGCACGCGTGCCATTGATGGCACTATAATAATAAATAATGTGTTTTGAAATAAGGGCTATCGTATTTGCCCTCATCATTTAGTGCCACTGTAGAGTAAGGTCCTGTCACTTGCCAGTGGCGCCACTTGTACAGTCACGGAATGAAAAGGTTCGTCAGTTTTCAAATTGATTCCTTCAACGAATCGTTATTATTACCTTTTGAAACTATGTTACAGAATAATCTCGAGTTAGAGAAAATAATCTTTAACTGTTCGTCAGTAAAGTTCAAAATTATTCAGATCAAAGTTGTTTGACGATTTATCTTGTCAAGATTATTATGATTGATAATTAGTTTATTATTTATTAACCTTCTTGTTGGTTCAACCTGCCATTATTATTTCTATTAAATAAAAAAAAACTACATTTTGTAACATTGCATGGGATAGAAAATTAAACAAGCAAAACCTTATTCGTTAGCAAACGTCATATTTATTTAAATGTTAGCAGCACTGTTTCTTGCACTGTTATGTTGGCAGGTTGACTCTTACAGTACCTAGTGCAAGCGAAAACCGACACTAAGGTGACGAACCTTTTCATTCCGCGACTGTACAATAACCCCTTGATAGCATTAGGTGTTATTTTGATGGTCTATGACTACATCAAACATGATTATAGAAAAGTGCAACATTGATTCATAAAGTTTCGCCATCCCTGCTGTAAAACAACATTGCCAAATTATTAGAAAAATATTGAGTGTCAGGTGTGGCACACGGCTTATTTTATACAGCTTTATTGAGAATAATATGTAAGGCGCAAATCAGCGATACCAGTCTTCTGTCCAATTTCAAACTGTTCAAATTATCTGGTCAATTCAATGTGAGCTTGTAAGTATTTTTATCAAATTATTTTGCTGACTTTGTTTGAGCGTTTTCGTCCAATATCAGTTTCTGATATAAACTTAAGCGTTTTGGAAACAGAAGTTGCGTCAATTTTAACAAAAGATGGGAATAATCATCATCATTTCAGCCACAGGACGTCCACTGCAGAACATAGGCCTCCCCAAATAATTTCCATATCGCCCAGTTGATAGCGGCCTGCATTCAGCGCCTTCCTGCTACCTTTATGAGGTCGTCGGTTCACCTAGTGTAGGGCCTGTCCACGCTACGTCTTTCGGCCAGTAGCCTTATTCACGTAACAAAACTTCAACGACAACAAATCGCCGAGTTGCGATCCTATCGAGTAATCGTTCTATCGAAATGATCCTTGTGAATACGGATTCAGAACAGTTTTTCAATGGGACGACTTCTGAACGTCAGCGAGATCTTGACTGTCAAAATACGTAAATTAGGTCACAGTAAATAATAAAAATTCAAACCATGTTAGTTCGTACGTTCGTTTCAGCCAAATGACGTCCACTGCTGGACAAAGGCCTCCCCCAAGGTTTTCCATAATGAGCGGTCCTGCGCTGCCAGTGGTAGTGGGCGGGGCACATAGCTCGTAGAGACGATGGCCGTTGGGGCAGGAAAGTTCTCGAGTGGCGACCACTTGCTGGAAGACGTAGCGTGGGCAGGCCTCCTTCTAGGTGGACCGACGATCTGGTAAAGGTCGCGGGAAGAGCCAAATCATGTACAGTAAATAATAAAATAACCTTGTCGTTTCCAGAATTATATGCGAGTGGTGACCGCTCGCAATAGTAGCGGGGACGGTGGCTCGGTGTCTCAGTTCTGCTACAAGTTGGGGCTGGAGGCGGGCGGCGTGGATACAGTGCTCGGATATACTGCTATGGAGGGTTTGAAGGTGAATTTATTTCTTTAGTATATTCTTCTTGTTATTCATACAGGGTGTGGTAGTGAAACACAGTGTGAGTACATGAAAGTAGTTACAAGAAAAATATAAATAAATATGTAACTATTACTTTATTAGTAAAAAACGTTGTTCAAACGTGTCCTAAAATTTTCGAGACGCGCTTGTTACCGTCTGCATCACCCCCCCGCGTACCCCGCCACGCCGCCTCAAGAGAGCGGGGGAATGACCGATAGCTCGAATTTTTCCATGAAAATGTAAGGTTTTTTTTTTGAATCAGTATCGTGTATACTAAAGCCTGGTCCGTGAGCACGTAGAATTTTGTCCAATGACCCCAAGCTACCCATCCTTATCGCTCGCGCATAATTATGTTGCTGTCGCGCTCGCACACTCACTGCGGGCGCCCGTCGCACAGTCGCGACAGCAATATAATTACGCGCGAGCGATAAGGATGGGTAGCTTGGGGTCATTGGACAAAATTCTACGTGCTCACGGACCAGGCTTTACTACCCCTGAGATGGGCATTGTCTTACAAAATCACACCCTGTAGACCTCTGTGGTACAGTGCTAAGATAGTTGGCTTTAGAATTGGAGCTTGCAGGTTCTGGGTTCGTTTCTCACATAGTGTAAGGTTAGGACACTGGGCTTTAATCAACCTGATTGCTGCGATCCTGTGTTTCGAAGGTCACATTAAGCGTCCGCCCGATTGGCGTAATCGGTTATGGTATTCATAAATTGGACACGAACACAAAAGAAGTCCTAACTTCTTCGGATCTCAAAAATGACTTGTACAAAAATACGTCTTTTTTGTTAATGAAATTCATTGCTTAAATATCCCGAATCCAATTCAGTTCAGCACTTATTACATGAGATAAGTGCTATTTTGCAACAAAAATAGTATATGATGTACTGAAGCTTAATTTTTTTTTACAGGTACTTTTCAACAGATCAGGAGGTTGGATTGGCTTCGAGACATCCTCCTGTGGGCCCAACGCTCGCGTATCAGGCCCGTACACCGTTCCATACTCCTTCATCGATTCCTGCAAGCTCACCAGATCGGATTCTGAGACAGCAGTCTCCATAAAGGCTGCACAATGGGCCCTATGTGTCATATCTATTGTAGCCGGGTTTGTACTGATATATCTTTTGGCACCAGCTGTCAGGATGTGCATATTGAGAAGGAGACAAAGCTCGGCGCATTCTGTATCGCAAGACGCGTTGGTTGATCAGGAATTGAGTTAAAATGGCTGCTGTTATGGGCAGAAACTTTTGAAAAACTGATCTTTACGCTGTCTCTCTTACTCATGCACGGTTATTGTGTGAGTGAGAGAGGCAGTGATTCAGCGTAAAGTCTCTGAAGCAAGTAATTGCAAAATTGAGAGAAGAACAACCGATAAAACATTAAAAATGAATGAATATTTGACTCTCTCGCACTTGCACGCTCCTTGGATGAGTGAGAGGGACAAATTATTTTTGAGAAAGTGTGACTTCAAGATATCGTAGTCAAGAACAGATGACAACCCATCAGACCTTTGTTGTTGTAGCAAAATCGAATCTTTTACAATTAGATAAAATACAAAATTCTTTAGTTTGATGTGTCGTCTTCTGCCGGGCTAGGATGCTCGCCGTGATAAAATCTTATCGATTTAGACGACAAATGTATGGGCTTATCGCGTAAAAAGGGATAAAATGGCGCGGTCAAGCTCATCGCAGCGCGCATCCTAGGCTTACCTACTTATCAAGTAAAGAGGAAAATGTAATGTGATTTATGTTTAGGTAATAACAAGTTTAACTTGTTATCGGTTTGCCAATTGACATTATCTCTTGAAATATAGAAACAGACAAGTCTCAAGCAGTAGTAGTATGTGCTGCATAAATAAATAGTCGTGTACGAATACTAATATAACATTTCACTAGTACGCTAATGTGTTTTAAATTAGTCAGTGTAACATAAATTACGTAGTTAAATTACACTAACATTTTGTGTTGTGGCTGGAACCATCAAAAAGTTCTATAAGAGTGATATTTTATCATAAGTCTGAATGTATAGTTAAGTTTTAATTTATCTCAATTAACTTATGAAAATTTGTGGTAATTATGAATGTGTGATACTTATAGTGATAAGTTAGTTATCAAGAATTTTGAATTTCATAAATTCAGTGACTTTATTTTCCAACTATAGAAATAAAATACAAAAACATTTTTTCCAAGTTATTGTGTCATTTAAAAATCATAGTCTAGTCTAGTCAAATAAGGAAAACAATTTTAAAAATTGCTTTGTTTAGTGACTCGTGTACCGGACTACAAAACCGTATATTAAGTTACTCGTTAACAATCCAATATCTTATGGCATAAATTGGTATTCTTTGCAAATTATTTTTACAATAATTGTATTGAACACTGAAGGATAACACTTGATTTTACGCTTCTGTTTAGTATTAGTTTTAAAGACTGTAGTTAGTTATCCAATTTTGTGCTGTTTTAGCGTAAGTTCTTAGATATGTAATACATGTTTTCATAGCTTCCGATGCTTGTAGTATAATTTATATGGAATTAGTTTGCTCAATTGTCCATAAATGCGAGTGGATTTGCTCCAAAATGTGCTTGCGTGTGATTTCTTTTTAGTATCAAGTGATACTTTGTCACACTTTGAAGTGACTAGTTTAGTAGTGACTCGATCCGGTGATCCTGTGGTCAGTAGCTTTACCGTGAGTTACATTAAACGTCATTGCTAACGAGTGCGTCAAAAAATCTATAAAGATTTTAGTTCTTGGAAGTTACTGCTAGGGGCGCTGTACAATTTGTCGTACATTTCCTGTATTTTTTTACGCAGTCACTAGCTATTAGCACACCTAATGTAAATAGTAAGAACACTGTCCTCAAATCAGAAACATATGAAAATCGCTTTCTTTGCTACTCCTTTGTTTGGTGTTTTCGATTCTTCGAAAAAACGTGACTGAGCCATGTCTATTTCAGACGCTTATGGTAGCTCAGAAAGTTAGACAACAGTGATGTGACGTGACTCCAGATTGTATCTCACATTAGAGAAGAAAAAATTTTATTTATGAAGAGTTTTTCTTATTCTTTTGTTTCTGATTGATGAAGGCCAGTTATTTATAGGACCTACATCAATCCGATAGTAACTACGCTTGCAGTTGATTGACCAATCATTTGCGCAAAAAGTGGATTTAAATTCAATATGCATTGCAATTTTTTCAATAAAATTACATGGTGCAGTGTCCAACTACTACTAATTATATCATTTAAGTATTCTTGACGTTATTTATTACGGTTGTACCTACTTGTAGTATTATTATATTATTTGCTTTAACACATAGCTAATAAGTAGGTGTCCATTATTATATAATTTAGTCATGTGTTCTATGTTTTTCCCAGTCATTTTAATTAAATGTTTGCATGTAAAATTATAAAATGAACAGGTTTTAAGTAAATTAGTTAATTAGTATTAAGTAACCATTTATATGTATATTGCACGCCATCTGCTTGGCAAATTGTAGCTGAACAATTTTACGTTTAAATTTAAGATCCATCAATGTATGATATGTACCTACAATTGCAATAAACTAATTTGATTTGATTTGATTTGATTTGATTTGAAGTTGTTATTTTAATTAGGGTGCCACGTAACGATTCAATTATGGACTACTTATTAATTTAATTTGTTAAGTTAACCGTCAGATTCAAAAGCCCTTACTCTTCGGGTAAATAAAAGTATTAGGTATTTGATCTCTAATATCGCAAGGTTATCACTAGTATAATAATTTGTGTTAAAAAAAGAGTACTTAACCAGTTTAAAAAAATGGTCTTGCAGAGGTGACCCTCTAGTGTTTATTTATGCACAGCAAATAATGTAAAATAACAATAATTTGTGTTTTTATCGTTTTTGATAGCAATAATGTATTAGCATCATTTCTAAATATTTTTTCTTCTAAATGTTCTGAAAGTCATTTTAGTATTTTGTGAATGCCGTCTTGATAGAAAAATCGTTTCTGTAAAAATAAATGTACCTAATTATGTACCTATTGTAAATCGAACAAAAATGTATAGGAGTTGAGGATGAGTTAAATTGTAAATGTAAATTTTATTGACCAATAAAGGCAAAAGGGTTGAATGCTAATATTTTATCAAAATTCTATTTACTTAATAAATTGAAATTTGACAAATGAATTGTTTTATTACCATTAAAAATAAGTATATTACCACACTAGGAATAAACCGACGAACTTGACATAGCTGTAAAGTTATGCCAATAATTTGGTCGGTTTGATTTGCGTGGTCTCAAAATTTTCCGATTCAGAAGTTCGTTCGCGAAATGTCAGGCTCTGGTAAGGGCGTTAAACCCCTCCTTTCGGAGGTTCTGTGTTCGATTCCCAGTTTACACGTAGTGTAATTTGGAAGTGTAAAAATAAAGTAGGTAGTTACATAATATTACCTATTTACCTATAGAGTTGGTTAGACCACGTAGTTGCTAATTTAGGCTACTAAGTTATCACCATAATATTTTGCTAAGAAGCCATTTCCCTATCCTTGCTCTTGCTCAAGTTATTAAATGTTGCTCCAAGTTTAATAATTTAAATTAACTCTATCGCGGGTTATGCATAGCCATAAGTGCGTGTATATTTTAATTTCCTCGGAGGAGGAGCTTCGATTTCCTTCGACCTAATAACTCGTCGTCGTTGGAAATTACGAGTGGAACGATTTCCGAATATGAATCTAATCGGAAAATTAATTTCACTCGATTCATTTTATGATGTTGCGATGAAATTTCTGGTGTGTAGGTAATTAAGTGGGTATGGTGATAAATTCAAATAAATGATGTGGGATGGAAGAACAACTTTAAAACTGTTAAATAAAAAAAAATACTGAAGCTGAGTTGCACCATCTTACTTACTTAGGTACTTTAACTCAAACGTAAAGACAATTCTTTTCAAACTCCATACGAAACGCCGGTTATAGCTATAGTTACGGTTAATTAAAATAAGGCGTTGCAACTCAGCTTTGAAAAAATCTATTGCTTCAGGTGAAAATAAAACCAGGATTTTTGGAATTTTGAAAATTCGATATGTTTACGTACCCAAGGTAGGCAAGCCAGGCACGGATCTAGGAAAACAAAAGTAGCTGCGGCAAGCGGACGGTTTGAGTTTAATTCTCACCTGAGGCAAATAAATAATTTTTCCAAGTTATTTTTTTAATGATGTGCTCTTTTTAAAAAAGCGAAAATCTTAAAACTTAATTTTATTCTAAAAAATAAGGTAAATATTATTTAATACCCCAAAACTGCGATCCGATTGCATTTTGGCCTGACCGAATGGAAATAGTATTAAGGCCCAGTTTTTTGATTCGTAGTTAAAATAACCAATGGTCAAATTTGACAGATGTCAAATGACAAGTGGTTAAATATCAGAAAAAAATGTTTTTCGAACAATGGTTAGCTCGACTTTTAATACATTTTTTAACTATTAGTTAACATTTTGTTAATATTTAACCATTAGTAGCAAAATTTAACAATTTGTTATTTTAACTATGAATCAAAAAACTGGGCCTAAGTAAGTCATTTATTTTAACTCGCGCCTCTCCAATGCCAACCTGAGCCGTTGGCTGGCATTCAAACGTCTGATTTACAACTCTTATCTTTTTCATGCGCCACCAAAATAATCTGTATTGCTATGTTATTTATTTTTGTGTTGCCTTTTAAAAAAAAAGTTGCGGGATTTCTGCACAAAATCAAATAGGTGTATTATCTATAGCCGATTGAAAAGATTTCAAACACTTTGATCATTATGTAATAAATGTAATTAAATACCTAGGTATCAATTAGTATGAATTTAAAACATTAGAGACATAAAATACCTGCAGTATACCACATAAAATAAAACTTAAATTGTACTTAAGTAGGAAGGTACTTAACATTCTCAGCACCATTTTCAAGAACTGTAGATTAGATACTATTAGGTTGTAGGTACTACTTAGTATAATACCTTGAACGGAAACCTAGAATCAGGAGTTTGTTGATGTCATCTCCATTGATTCAATGGGTTTCAACTGGGATTCAACCTTTTAAGTAGGCTCTAATCGTACAGAGGATAAGCATATAAATGTAGGATGTGGTAGGTACTACACACCACACAGAGCATAAGTAATAATAAGTACATAATTATATTAAACAAATTATTTACTCACGTATCTATTTAGCCTACATAGAACAAAAAATAGCATTTCTGCGACAGTAGTTTTGGGATCTTGACAGTGCCCGATTAATGCCCGTTTTCACCATCAGTCCCTAATTTTATGTGACCACCTATGACAACAAAATTCCAGTTATTTGTTACCATAGGGGTCACTTAAAAATTAGGGATTGATGGTGAAAACGGGCATATATCCCAAGTAGCAATTGGTATTAATGGCAAAATCTTACTTGTCTTAACTCTATCTAAATTTACACTTAAGCTAAAACCAAATAAACTTAGGATAGAGATTTCTCTCTTTAAGAGTTTATATTCTTCACCGAGCACTACTTAAGCAAATTAAGAATATCCAAAACCAAGTTAAGTATTCTTGAGATAATTTGGTCTTAAGTTATTCTTAGCTTAAGTTAAAAAAAACTTATTTTACTAAATTATGATTTTTTGTATGCTCACTTTAATACTAAATAGTATAGATGAAGTATTATTTAAGTGTTGCAAAGGAAATAAAGTATTCGTAGATTTACTTAGGACTCTTTAAAGACCATTGTCCTAGAAATAGTTTTCTGAAGATTAAGTTAATTACTTTTTTACTAGAATTAATACATTTTGAGAAAAAATACACTTAACGGGACGATTTCGATAAAACAGGATCACGCCTATTAATTCAAAGTAATGCATGTAATCTTTATAAGTAAATTATGCTATTATAAGTAAACTCCAAATATGATTTACTAAAATATTGTCTAAAATATTTTCAAAATTGTATGGTAAAGTTGGGTACAACGTGATTATTATACAATGGAGTAGTTTCGTGATGTTGAAAACATTAGATTTAACTGAATGGAATTAAAATATAGACCAAATAAAAAGCCGGTGAAGTTATTTTTGAAATCCATCAAGAAATGGCTGAGAAATTAATTATTTAAATTACCTCCATATTTTTGCGTGGAATTAAACATAGGCGGTGCCGTAACGTCAGGCCACCTGTTCAAGTTTCAATCACCATGCTTACCACCTCTAACGCATTGTCGAGAGTGACACTATAATGTCAAAGTCTTCTTCTTATTTTTATATTATATGGTCAGGTCTTGGATATGTCAAAAAAGGTTACCTACACAATTTTACTAAGAAAGAATGTTGAGTGACCCTGACTGAAAAATTAAAAACTACTATAATTTAAAAAAAATGGATCTGTCAACAGCACTGGACCAGGGGTGATTTACTGTTTGTACCTACTCCGAATGACTGTCGTGAATATTTATTATGCGCAACTTTAGGGCCCTATAACTTTTGTATTTGTAAAGATATTTTCATGATTCTTTCACAGTTATTATTAGTTTTACTTATATTTTCAAGTTTTATTGAAAGAAAAACATTTTCCATTTAACGAACTAGGTGACAGTAGATACTTTAAAAAAATCTTAACATAATAAGTATCGAAAAATGTTTCTAATACTTGTAATCCACACTAATTTACGCATCTCATTTAATAAATTAGAAACACTGTATGATTAAATTTAACAAAATTACAAATTGTTAAAAGTTCCATAAAATCAATTAAACACTTTTCACAATAAAATACGTCATTTGTGTTCATAATACGGCAAAAATCATATGGCCGATATTCAATTAATTTAATTGCTTATCGCTGAGTGTAGCAATTACAGAGTTCAAAGAATACTTTACGAAATATGAGGTTGGTGCAATTTACCCACCAGTACAATATACCGAACTTTCCCCTATATGTTATAACAAAACTAAAAACGTAAAAACAATAAAAATCCTATTAGAACCATTTTCGACTTCCACACGGACAAAGTCAAAGGAGAAATCATGTAATTAATAAATAAGTTAGTAAATGAATTGTTCTCTACTGTATAGCAGCACCAATAATTTAGCAAGACTAAGACAGAATGAAGACTATTTAGTTTTAACTCAATAAAACTAAAGGTCTACTTGATACCACATGCACTTAAGTAATACTTCATCAAGTGAATTTTAAGTGAAAGTTAAATCTAATGTTTCTGAACGAATACTATGTAAAGTATAAATTGACGCAACTCTTACTTAACTAAACTTACAAATTCAAAATCTTCTATACTCTTGCTACATTAAGACAAATTAGAATTACTGCCATTATNGCGTCTTTCCGTTCTATACATGGCCAGAACGCACCCATAGGAAACTGCTCGTGTATATTTCGGAGTGCCTGTTTGTAAATCTGTGACTCCAAACTATACACGAATTTTGCGTACTGATCGTGTATAGTTTGGAGGAGCTTAGTAAAAAAAGTCATCTCCAAACTATACTCGATTAGTATCTACTACACCACTTACACTTGACTAGAGTGTGTTTAGTTGATATTGATTTAGTCTTAGATTTTATTAATCTAAGGATTTAGTAAAATTCAGTAAAATATGGAACTATATTTAAAATTACATTTATTTGATATTATTACATAAAATATTATTATTTTACTGAATCTATAATAAATCTAGATTTTTAATTTAATAAAAAGTGTCTTACATAGTTCTTCATGAAGTTAAATAAACCTTAGCTGTAAAAATAATTATTAGTCTTAAATAAGTATTCAAGATATCTTCAACTCTATTTCCTTGTCTACAGTCATACTTCTAGATATCTATTAGTACTTGTTTAGAAATTCTTAAAACTACACTCTTAATTAGGTTTTAAGTCTGCATTAAGCGTTGTCTTAACTGTGTCTCTTTGATTTCCAAAGGATTGTGCCCTTTTTTGCTTACCATTGTCTTGGGGGATAACTTCAAGATTTCTTGAGTGCGACTATTGTCTTGGCCAAGACAACGGCTGGAATTAGGCTACTAGTCTTCAAGATATCTTCAATGCCTTATGAAGATAATCTGTTGCTACTTGGGATAAGACTACTTACTTAATGATGCCCTAACAGTAACTTAAGTAATTAGTAAAATCTAAGCAATCCACACCGTGGTCTTTTTGGTGCCAACCAAAACGTGATGCCCTACTTACTTACCTAAGCATTAATTGCTTAATTCGGCACTGATCCCACACACCTGTATTGCATGTGTTCCTATTTTACTTACTTGTACCTTTTAGTTAATGGCAAAACACTAGAAATTCGGTAGGTATCTCGCTTCGATTCAACAATTCAGTCGTCAAGAGTTTTGCGCCAATTTGCATAGAAACGAGATCAGACAAGAGTCGCGAGTCGAAACCGAAATGAAATTCCGATTATACCGAGATTGGAAAGCATCGCGGCCTAATGCTCAGAAGAAAAGAAATTTAATTTTCTACGCGATGAAACTTCTACATCACTGCAATTTGGTATGCTCCCATTTAAATAATTCAGTACCGTCAAGGGACAGGCTTGACTGCCATTGTGGATTACTTAGGATGCGGAATAAGATGGGGTTTTTGTACAATTTTGATTTCATACCTCGATTAATCTACGAATGAAATGTATTTGCGCAAGGCTTAGGTACGAGTGGTTGCAAAATCAAGACACTTAGTATTAAATTGAACAAAGAACTTCCCTGGTTACCTTCACAACAAGCGTTAACAGTTTTAGCTAATACCTAAGTACCTATTAAAGTGTGACCCAAACCGATTATATCCAACCTGCATGCTCTGACTTTATAATAAGCTTGATTTATGACCATAAACGAATTAGTAAATGGTATTCTGTAGTTAGGAGATTACTGCGCTTTATGGCTTAAATAAATCTTGATGCATACCTATTTCTAACTTCATACCCCCTTACTAATAAAACTTACACGCTCGTTGAACAGTGTTTTAAAGTGACGTTCAGTATGGAAATGTCATTTTAAAACAGTGTTCAACAACTGTGTAACTTTTTATTAGTAAGGGGGTTAGAGAATAACTATTCAAATAAAACTTTTATATTAGAAATAAATTAAATTCTCGAGAGCGCACCTACGGGTTGCATATTTACATGGAAAAACATGTAACAGAGAGTAGGTACCTACTACCTACTAACAACATAAGTAATTAATCCATTAATTGTTGTTATAATACACCATAATTAAATTAATTTAACAATGTGATACAAACGACCATCTTTATAATAAGAACAAAAAATAAATGCATTTTTACACCAACAATCTAAATGCATTTACCTACTTAGTTGTTTAGGTGTAATAAATCTTAAACATACAATAATATTTCTACCGGTCAATATCTTTCAGTTTTAAAGTCATATTAAATCCAATTAATCGACGGGTCATTAAGCAAAAGCGCCATATTTTAAAGATTAATTAATCTATTGAAAATACAAGTGGGATTCTGCAATTTTTTAGCAATTAGTGACATCTAATGGCCCTGCCTCGCTAACGACGCGATCCGTATGAGCATATTAAGGGCATTATTGATTAACATTAATTGATTTTAACCCGTCACTGAGTAAGGGAATCTGGCTTTATAAAAGTGATTGATGAAAATATGGGTTATTCTGATAGGTATTTAAGGTACTAAGTGCATGGGCCTTTCTTCGACTGGATACCAAATACAAAACTAAATTGCCGTGGGGAAGGACCTTAAAATTAATGAACCTTTAATTGATGATTTTTAATGAAAATAACCATAATAACTTTCAGTCTAAATTATGAATATTAACTAGACGTAGAGTACAATGTATATACTACTGTATGTCAAACATGGGCAAAACATTTGTATATTTTTCCAAAAATGTTCAACACTAGACTTATCCAACTACGCTAAATCAAACATTTATTGTGTAATATTTACTTTTATTTGACTTACCTACCTACTTTTATAACTGGTTTGCACCGAATTATTACCGGGCCAAAAATCAATAACAACTTTGTGCGCAAAGCTGTGTTTATTTTGTTTTTTCTTAGTAAGTATACCTAAAAAAACTGTAGGTGTTAGGATTACCTATCTTGAATCTGATTAGCGGACTTCTTCGCGTATAGTTAAAAATATTTTTATATTATTAAAATAGACACATTTTAAAGTGCCTTTACAAAAATTCTAATAAAGTTAAACCCATCTACCCTGAAATCCCTGAATGCGGCTCTGTCTCAAAATTTGTTCTTGCTGTTACCTCTTTCTTAGTTAAGAAAAGTAGGTAGTTACCTACCACCTATTTTTCGTGTTAGGCAGATTTTTTATTCATGTTGAATATCCTTTAATTTTTATAGGTCAGTCTAAATTATAGATCAAGGTGCTAATGGTAGGTGATAATTATGCTACAAAGACGCAAAATTTAGCTGTTTGGTGTTAAAAATCTCAATATTTTTGACTGACTGTGCCAAACTCGTACTACCTGCTTTATTAAAAAAATATATTAATTTATCTGCTCTTCCGTCAAACTATAAGTCGGGTATTTGTTAAGCCAAAGCCGGGTTAGCCTTGACTCAGCCAAGCTTACACTTACTTAAGAACAGTTCGCACGTGTAATATCGCGTAGTCTTCGTGTGTACCCATCAGAGTTCAGATGTTCAAGATGTCAGGGCTGTGGATAATATTCTTGGTGCAGATCATATTGGTTGCTGGAGACTGTAAGTTATTTCAACGTTTTTTTAAGGTTAAAATCCGGCCGAAAGCATGTCGAGCCACGCGTATTGTAGGGTTTCGTAGTTGCCCGTCGTTACGTTCTTCTTCTAAGTCACTCTTAATGCTTTTTTCTACAGAATTATTATTAAGTTCGAAATTTTCTATTTAACGTTGAACGACTTATTACTTATTTTGAAATAACTGATCTATCACGTTATTTTTCTTAGAATTGCATGAGAATCATATTATTATAATAATATTATGTTTTTTTCTCGATTTTGGGGGGCAACGAATCCCTAAATCGGACCAATTTAAAGAACCCTTTCAACGATACCCCAAACGATGGGGTAGCCGATGAAAAAAAATCACGTTACATCCTAAAAAAAGAATTAAAACAATAAAAAAAGCTGAGCCGCGCAGCCGACCGGTAATGAGAGATTGTTCCAAGACACCGGGTAGGAATTTATTTGAGGTTTCTAAAGCTCAAAATAAACTTAAAATAAAGTAAATATTATTTGCACTTTAGTAACTCAGTGTACATTTTTTTTGTATGTACTTCGAGTTTTTTACCTCTAAGCATAACTATAAATAATATTGACACATCATGATGTAACGAACAAGAGATTAGTTCCTGTTTACTTACTTGGTAGAAAACCCATCTAGATAAAATAGGTGGGTTCGTTTAAACAACTAATTTTTTGGGAAAAATAGGCAGGTAGGTAAAAAAAATAAGTAAGTAAGTAGGTACTAAAAAGAAATTCAAATTAGGTATGTTCTATCTATAGAAAATGTAGAAAAAAGCTTTAGTCTTGAATGAGTCTTTCCCAGGTCCCAGTTCCACAGTTTAAGGCAGTTCTACAGGCTAACTTACCAGGGCCGGCTTTAACCTATTGGGGGCCCTAGGCATTTAAGAATCAAGGGGGCCCAATTTTTGAAAAAGGAAATTGTCAGCCTTACTTCTGTAACTGTTCATATTTTTTTATACGTTATTGTTCTTATTTGCATACGGGGTCCTCCTTGATTTTGGGGCACTGAGCACGTGTATGAGTGCCCAGTGGGAAGGAGGCGCATGCATCTTACCTTACATTTACGTTGCAAATTCGCACTTATTATAACAGTATCCTGCGCTGCCCGCATCCAGGCTCTTTCCGCGACCTTTACGAGATCGTCGGTCCACCTAGTAGGAGGTCTGTGGAAAACCTTGGAGGAGGCCTTTGTCCAGCAGTGGACGTCATTTGGCTGAAACGAACGATAACAGCATAAGTAACCACTGAGTTTATCTTATGTGCCGTCAAACGATTTATTATGTTCATTTACATCACGCTATCACCTTAGGCGATACTAAATCAATGGTAGTTTTCCTGTCATGTAGATAAGTGACATTTAAAACTATGAATTAGTTTAATAATGCAGTAGCTACTGTATCATTAGTTTGTCAGTATTATAACACCAGTTATTATGTTAATTTGCATTGATTAAAATCAGTAAAAAGTACCTAACTACTAAGCTATTGGATAAGTACTTACTTAGGACAGCTTTAATTGTAGGTACCGTAGGTATCTTCCATGTGTGGTAGGTACTATCTATTCACTTTATCCCCAATTCAATTCAAAATCATCTAGATTTCTCATCAATGCTTTGTAATAGGCAGAAAAAATAATAATAATTTGAGTATAAAATTATAAACCCTTCACCAATTACTTTTGCTCTTTGTATTTCTAATATTATCTGGTCTATTTGTTGTTCGGAATTGTTTTTACTCAACTTCAAAATTAAACTTTTCAGCGCCAAAATGCGAGAAGTCAGACACCGCATGCCTCGTGAATACTGCGCAAGAGACTGTGCCGGTGCTGACTCCTGGCCTACCAGACATCGGGGCGCCGTCCCTGGACCCGTTACACTTGGATAAAGTCACCGTGAACCTAGCAGGTCTGAATCTGCTTGTCAGGGACGCAAACATCAAGGGGTTGAGGAAGAGCGTTATCGACAAAATCGAGTAAGTTACCAAAATTGTAGCACTACTTAGGCTGAGTTGCACCATCTTACTTTAACTTTGACAAACGACAAAAATCTGTCAAACTCAATACAAAAAACACCGGTTACTGTTATTGTTACGGTTAAAATAAGGTGGTCCAACTCAGCCTTAGTCAGTAGTCTTTTTGTTCGTTATATATTTATTTATTTATTATTTATTTTATTTTGTACCCTATTGTTTTACGAAAAACATCAACGCCTGACCTTTTCTTTCGACTTCTCGGACACCAAATGCCTCAAGAAAAGGTTGCCTCTTGAAACATTTAGGTACTTATAAGTTGAAAACAAAAAACATCAGTATCATACTTGATCATAGAAAACTAGACTCAAATTCGGTTTGGTTCATAATATTGTCGCTGTTAATTTCCCCAATAAATTAATAAATTCATTATTTATATTTTCAGAGTGGACCGAAGCAAGAAGATTTTGGAGGTGAGGTACCACACAGACCTCGTGATGAAGAACAAATACAAGGCCTCGGGACAACTCCTCATTTTGCCCATTAGTGGTGATGGAGACATGACTTTGAAGCTGAGTAAGTTTTTTTTAACCCAATAAAATATTTAATGATTAAAAATTTCGTCTGATTTTTTTGATTTAATAACTAGTATTATGGACAAAGATACTATCATTTAACATTGAACTAGTGGAAACAGCAGTGATGTTTTTAACCTTAATGGGCTTACTAAAATCATCAGGATCTAGCTGGATGCTCATATTAAAATCGAATTTATAATCAAATTATTACTATTTCCCCTATATTACTAAGAACTGAGCGGCAATAATTCATTTTAACATAAAACCATTGCACTTTCAGAACATCTGCAGGTCGACATGACCATGCCGTTCGAATATGGGAAGAATGCAAACGGAGACACCATTTTAGATTTGAAGAGCTTCAGCCTGAAGTATGACGTCAGGGATAACGCACATTTCCATCTAACCAATCTGTTTAATGGAAACAAAGAATTGAGTAAGTATCTCCTATTACTTGATTAAGATCTCGATGAGCAAGGGGTGTTTGAATCTATTAAATGGATTACTAACGTCTCGGACCGAGCATTTAATCGATTGCTTCTTTGGAATGAAAAACATTTTTTTCCCTTTGGAAAATCCTCAACTCGTCAAATAGCACTTTTGGATTCCGCTGCCTTTAATATAAATTTTATGGTAAACTAGCTTTCCGCCCGCGGCTTCGCCCGCGTGGAATTTTGTCTGTCACAGAAAAACAATATCGCGCGCGTATTTACTCATCGTTTAGACCTGGACTACGAAAAACATTTTAAAACCAAAATCAGCTCAATCGGCCCAGTCGTTCTCGAGTTATAATCAGACTAACGAACATCAATTCATTTTTATTTATATAGATAGATATTATATAGATAGTTAGCGGCCGCCCGCGACTTCGTACGACTGGATCCCGTTTTACCCCCTTCATCTTTCTTTAGCGGTTAACTCCCGTTCCCGTGGGAATTTTGCATTATCCTGTTGTAACTAAGCTTTAAGTTTACTAAGGTACCTGCATGCCAAATTTCAAGCGTCTATCTTACGCAGTTTAGATTTTTTCATACATATGTTTTTTCCTGCTAACTCCCGTTCCCGTGGGAATTTTACGATATCCTGTTGTACCGAAGCTTTTAATTTACTAAGGTACCTGCATGCCAAATTTCAAGCGTCTATCTTACGCAGTTTAGATTTTTTCATACATATGTTTTTTCCCGGTAACTCCCGTTCCCGTGGGAATTTTACGATATCCTGTTGTACCTAAGCTTTAAGTTTACTAAGGTACCTGCACACCAAATTTCAAGCATCAAACTTAAGCGGTTTAGATTTTTCATACAAAAGGATTTTTCCGCTAATTCCCGTTCCCGTGGGAATTTCGGGAATTCCTTTCTTAGTGCACCTGTACGGTACCTAAACTACGTCCCTTCCAAATTTCAAGTGCCTACGTTTAGCCGATTAGGCTGTGCGTTGATCTGTCAGTCAGTCAGTCAGTTTCTCCTTTTATATATTTAGATTAGCTTAAAGAATGAAGAATGGTTACAGTCTTTTCATTAGAACTTGGTTTGATTGACAAGTCGGACATATTGTGCATTACGACAGTTAAATGCAATTAAATGCTGTTGAAACATTGCTAAAAAATAAAATAACTACTAGTCCCAGTTTGGTTAAGACTAACTCGTTTTTCAGAATGAAAAATTTTTCTCTAGGAAAGCCATGTCAGACAACTACGTTAATTTTAATGTAATTGTTACAAATGTAGGTACCAACTTTATTTTAACTCTAAAGACTAATTATAACGAGAATAAACCAACTATCGCGCGCTAATTTTAGTTCCTCAAAAAATACAGATTCTCAGATTTTAAAAAAATGCCCTGAGTGTGAACTAACACGTTAAAATCTTCTTTTTCCAGGTGACGCGATGTTGAATTTTATGAACACTAGTTGGAAAATTTTGACGGAAGAGTTTGGACTGCCCATCCTGACTGCCGGACATCAAGTCATATTTGACGCATTAAAGGCGTATATGGCTACACAGCCTATAGAAGAGTAATAAGTAACCAACGCCAATAGATTATAACAACAAGAAGTGATAAATATACCAAAACTAGACTATGCAATTTCAACTCTACGTTACATTGCATTATAATTTTACAATCGTTTTATAAAAACTTGTTCGCAAGATTTTTAATTTCTATTGGCGTAGTACCTACATATTATTATTTTAAGGTCTGATATAAAGTTATTATATTCAGTTAGAAAATAAGGCGAGGTTAATGTTGAGGTTAATAATGGTTTATTATTGTTACTATTTTTCAGCCACGGATCTACAAGCTTTTTAACCGGGACAATTTTTTGTGAATGCCGCCCGGGGCAAGCGCCCCGGTTTGCCCCCACCTAGATCCGTGCCTGATATTTTTATAATTTTTTATTTTTATTGCAAAAATCGACAGAAACAGAGTCTGTCATATGGGCTAGTGACGAAATTGTGCAATACTTACCTGCATTGAAAAAAATGAAGGCATAATAATTTATTGAATCTGCTCACTATTTAATGTTTTTGTAAATTTATTTTCGACTCCTCTACTTTCTTTCTATCTTCTTCTCTTTATCCGGAAGGCTATTTTAAATCATTAGAATTTTCAATAGCCTACGAATTCGCACTTTACAAATCAAATTAGTGTCCGACCGAAACTAGTTTTACGACCGAAACCGAAACCGAAAACGAATTTCGGCAACGGTGTCTATTTCGGCCGAAACCGAAACCGAAACTTCCTTACAAGGCTCATATTTTGACGGAAAAATAAAGAAATCGTTATTATAATCAGTCAGACTTTATTGTTTTCTCTTTGAATTGTATTAAAATTGAACTTATAAAGCGCCTTTTTACTCTAAAAGGTATCAAATTATGCATTAAAAAAGAAAAAGAAGGATTTATAGTCTAGATTTTTTTTAATTACTAATAATTTCTCAACACAAAATTGGTAGTAGGTAAGTTAGTAGGTATCTACTGTACTTGCCACTTGGATACCTTGGTAATAAATACTAAAATGAACTTTGGTACTCTGAATCCATAATATTATCACCATGAAATGCACTACCTATAGTCATTACTAACTACCTAACTAATGTTTGTTTACGTATAACATTTGCAAAAAAAAATAGGTTAGATTAAACTTGATTATACTTTTATCAGTTATATTGAATTTTTTTTATGTTTACTACCCGCTCTTATGTTATAACGACATAAAACGAGATAAAACTTACCAAATTCAAAATAAATCACTGAAAAATTGGCCACCACAACAAAACAAAACTAACAGCAAACAAACAAGCGAGCGAATCACGACATTGGCTCTGATCGGATTCATTCACTCATTCAACGCGCCGAAAATGACCGATAACAGCGCGGAAACTCCCGAATACACATTCGGTTTCGGTCGTAGTTTCGGCATGTTTGCCGCCGAAAACGAAACTAAACCGAAACTCGTGTTTTTACCGAAACTCAACCGAAAACGAAACCGAAACCGAACATTCGGTCGGACACTAAATCAAATATTTAAACTTGTTACATTATACAGTGTGAGTCACGTTAAAGTGTACATATGAAAATAGATGAAACTAGACCTATTTTTATCGACAAAAAAGAAGTCAAAAATTTTTTGAGATTTTTTTTTAATTTTTTATAGAATTTTTTTTCTTCCAATTACTTATTGTAAAGAAAACGTAATAACTTTTAAACTAAGCGGTATATCCTGATAAAATAAAAACAGTAATAATGCTAAATAACAGGCAATACTAAAAAAATACATAAAATACACAAAAAAGGCCAACAAATAATAAAGAATGATAATTTTTGAAAAAAATCTGCTTAAAAATTCGTGTTTTTTTGGTTATTTGATAAATTTCTCCAAAAAATGCCCCTATAAATGTATTTTTTTAGTATCGCCTGTTATTTAGCATTATTACTGTTTTTATTTTATTAGGATATACCGCTTAGTTTAAAAGTTATTACGTTTTCTTTACATTAAGTAATTGGAAGAAAAAAAATTCTATTAAAAATTAAAAAAAAATCTCAAAAAATTTTTGACCTCTTTTTTGTCGATAAAAACAGGTCTAGTTTTATCTATTTTCATATGTACACTTTAACGTGACTCACACTGTATTTTATTTCTAGGGAAAATATTGACTTGATAAAATAAATATTTTTATCTGCGAGTATTATTAATTAGCCAAGTGTTATTACATTAAATTATTGTATGTTTTACTGTTTTTTTTTTATCTATTGCCTTGATAAAATCAATATAGTTAGACCGAGGGTTTTGGAATGTAGGTCTAGACAAAGTGCACATTATAATCGCAAACCAGTCATAGAGTTATGACGAATTCGATTTTAGATTCGATCAATAAGTGCGACTTGCCTAGGCTAGCCACTTCACCCCTGTGGGTTGAGTGTGAGTTTATATCAAACGCAGTGAAGCACGTTTAAAAAATGTATGAAAATTTTAGTTTTTGAACGTTTCCCGCTAGGGGCGCTGTACAATCCCTCATAAGTACATTAAATGTCATTTTTTGACGCGCTCATTAGTGAGCTTGATGAAAACTCACACTCAGCCCTCTGTACCTCTAGTAGGAAAAACTTTCGAGTTCGTTTCGTTGCGTATTCAAAGTGTCATCGAAAAATTTTGTGTGAAAAATTAAACAGCGCCCCCTAGGGCGGCTATAATATAGGGGGCGCTGTTTAATTTTTCATACAAAATTTTTCGATGACACTTTGAATACGCAACGAAACGAACTCGAAAGTTTTTCCTACTAGAGGTACTGAAGTGACAGTCTTGTCGCTTAGATCGATCGATATCGTTAGCGATCTCGATGTACGGGACCTCGCGTCGGGTTCGGGGGGCAAGATGGAGGGATACTTATAAAACAAACGAAAACTGGATTTGTAAACATTTTCCTCATTCACTCTCTACAATACCTAAAGTTAGTGAAGAGATTAGGTGAAAATTTTGTAAATGCCAATAATTAATAGATATTTATAATTTTTATAATATTCATTAATCATTTAACCTTTTTTTAACTAACTACTAAGGCCCGGTTTTTTGATTCGTAGTTAAAATAACCAATGGTCAAATTTGACAGATGTCAAATGACAAGTGGTTAAATATCAGAAAAAAATGTTTTTCGAACAATGGTTAGCTCGACTTTTAATACATTTTTTAACTATTAGTTAACATTTTGTTAATATTTAACCATTAGTAGCAAAATTTAACAATTTGTTATTTTAACTATGAATCAAAAAACTGGGCCTAAGTAGATACCAATAAAGGAAAATACATATCAATATTTCCATGGTTAAAAACAACAATAGAACTTTAAGAAATTGATAACTATCTAGCTAAACCTAATAATCTATTGAAACACAACTTGAACCTACGACCGACTAAATTAACGCAATATCCAATAGTTTAGATACTACGCCAAGAGGTTGCGAGTTCGATTCCCGAACGATATAATATTATTCGTGTGCGTACAGATACGAATAATCTGATTATATTTCACCCTGTAGAGAATCATCCAGGGGTCTCCAAACTAAGGCCCGCGGGCCATATCCGGCCCGCCACTACCATCAATCTGGCCCGCGACAGCTTAAGACTAAGCCTATGTTTGTATAGGTGGGCAGAAAAATTGTTATGGCCCTTGCAACATACCGAAAAAATATTATGGCCCCAAGGCTTCAAAGTTTGGAGACCCCTGTATAACTTAGTTCTTTTTTTCTGTTTTCTTATGGTTCTGTGAGATTTTTGATGTGATTTTTGATGTGATTTTTGATAAGCGAAAATATTGACTTTACTAAAATGTCAGGAAAACTGTATGTACCTACCTAACGAGTAAAATCTTCACTAAGGTGAAGATAAATAGTTACCTTTTTTCTTTTTGTAATAGTTCCACGAAAACCAAAACGAGGGTTGGAGTTGTATAAAAATGAGCTCGTTCGCGTATGAAAACATGGAAAACCTGTAACTAAGTATAATTATTACAAAAAGATAATTATAATTGTATGTTGTACCTCGCAATGTCTCGCATGAAAAAGATTGGTAATTAATCTGGATGAGCTGGGTATTTACTATTTATTAGATGTATGTTGTTAACCCTATGTTGATTGACTCATAGTTAAAGGTTAGCCTAGTTTTAAGTTAAAAATGTTACGCTATACAGGGTGACTGGAACTGAACCCGCCATAGCTAATACGCGTATAGAAGAGGTCATTTGCTAATTATTGAACCTTACTTTCTATAGTTTAGGAGATATAATGTCAATTTTTAAACTTTTTTCAGATTTTTCCGAAATTTTACCTAAAAACTGCTTAAATTTATTTCTCGCATGATTTTAACCGATTTTTTTATTTGATACTAATATCCAATAAACTTTTAGTTAAATAAAATAAATTTCAGATCCAGATAATGATTGAATAACTAGCCACGAGCCGCCAAAGTTCAACAAAAGTACAAACCACGATAAAAAATTAAAGTTCGAATTCGATTTTAAAAAAAGCTAATGGTGATAATGGATTGCCAATGATCTTCGAAAAATCTAAAAAAAGTATAAAAATTGACATATCTCCTTAACTATAAAACTTTAGTCATAGAAAGTAGGGTTCAATAATTAGCAAATGACCTCCCCTATACGCGTATTAGCTATGGCGGGTTCAGTTCCAGTCACCCTGTATCGTTCGTTTCAGCCAAATGACGTCCACTGCTGGACAAAGGCCTCCCCCAAGGTTTTCCACAATGAACGGTCCTGCGCTGCCCGCATCCAGGCTCTTCCCGCGACCTTTACCAGATCGTCGGTCCACCTAGTAGGAGGCCTGCCCACGCTACGTTTTCCAGCCCGTGGTCGCCACTCGAGAACTTTCCTGCCCCAACGGCCATCGTCTCTACGAGCTATGTGCCCCGCCCACTGCCACTTGATTTTAGAAATTCTGCGAGCTATGTCGGTTACTTTGGTTCTCCTACGGATCTCCTCATTTCTGATTCGATCACGCAGGGAAACTCCGAGCATAGCACACTGTATAGGTTGTCCCAAAAAGTAGTGTCAAGCCGAAGCCCAGAGGTGGAGCATCACTACCCCTAGTGATCTATCCAAATCACCCTCAAATCAATCATGTATATTCCGCGATTTTTGATAGTTTTCGAGTTATGATTGTTTTTAATTTCTGTGCTTAGGCACTTTTTTGTCACTATGGCGCGAGTAGTCAAGTTGCATGTCTGTTTTTTTATTATTATAGATGAATACTAGGCCTAGCTGATTCAAGTATTTACATTCATAACACGAATGTGAACTAAAATACTGTATGTTGTAAAAAAATCATAACTCGAAAACTTTCAAGTCACTGTGATTTGGGTAGCCCTAGTGGTAGCTGTACCCTCTGTGCTTCGTTTCGGCTTGACACTACTTTTTGGGACACCGTGTATTATAGCATACATGTTAATACAACGCCATCTAGCTTAGAACTAAGAAAAACTTTTGCAGCATTCTACGGTCTCGTAGACAATCTTATTGCACTGCACACAAAACGTATTGAAATTAGTGCAATCACTTTTTCTCAGAAACAGAATCTCTTCTGGAGAAGTTTCATGTTATAGGTGTGATTCTGAACATTGACTAGTGAATGCCGTTAAAAATATCACGCAGTGTTATTTTTTTTCATACTAATGTAATAAAAAATATGATGGGTATACAAAATAAAGGATTCTCCTGTATGTACCAAAACAATGACTATGTAACAAAATACATTTTATATTAAGTTCTTGTTAACAATACTAGTCATTACGGTAACAAGAGTACCTTCATCATCATCATCATCATTTCAGCCACAGGACGTCCACAGGTTGGTAGCGGCCTGCTACCAGCGCCTTCCTGCTACCTTTATCAGGTCGTCGGTCCACCTTGTGGGTGGACGTCCCACGCTGCGTTTTCCGGTACGCGGCCTCCATTCCAGAACCTTGCTGCCCTATAAACGTACTAAAGTCGCTGACATAGCCCGACGGATTAGCAAGCTGAAGTGGCAATGGGAAGGGCACATAGTACGCAGAAGAGTACCTTACCTACTCGTAATTAGCAACTTATGGGTAGTTTAGTTATTTAGTTGCAGATTATAAATAATTACTGCACCATGATATTATACTCGTACCTAGCTCGGTACCGGTCATTATCATCAATTATTTCATTTGAGTGCGGAGACTTTGTTGGTTGATAGAACCTCTATCATCTTCCGTGTATTTTTTATCATTTTCGTTTTTTGTTTGCTGTGACCCTTCGAATTTGTGAAAAAAATACCTCAATCTTACTGCTATGATCAGCCTTTGATTTCTGAATAGGTAAGATCGATCAATTAATTTTTCTTTTAATTTATCCTCAGCAAGACATGTACATTTTGCACACAATGGGCACTGACCCATCATTTTATAAAGTTAGGTTTAATTTTTTTACTCTTTAGAATTCGGTTAAAATTCAAAAGTTAGATTTACACTCAAGTTACCATCAAAAGTTAGGTTTACACTCTAAAGTTGGGTTAAAACTGATACCATCGTTTATAGTTATCATTTTAAATGGATCTTTCTTTATTGTGCAAAGATGTCATATTTTTCTATAAATATTATTTTATTTTATAAGAAACTAAATAATAAGCTATTGCTTACAGAAGCCATTAAACCATCATTGTTAAATTCCTTGCCGTCACAGATACCTACCAGTAATACTCGTGACTATAAAAATTATGTTCACACCACATAAAAATACTAAAATTTATTAATAATACTACCAATTTTATACTCGTCGTACGCAGCGCATTTACAATGAATGCGCATCATACGGAATCTGGGTCGACAAGCCATGGATAAACTTACTTGAACCATAAAACGGCAGTCGTTTCAGAGTCATGGTCGTCAAGAATGCAAATATTATGTATATTTCCTGCAACGAGGTTTTGATTTCTATGGGGCATTTGAATGAGACTTGCACCAAAAGGCTTCAGTTTTCTCGGGTTATGCGCTCTAATAAGCACAGCCATATTTAAATTTGTGTGTGCGCATTTCCAGATTTGAAACCGATAAATTGATAAAATACGTTTTTGCTAATTACAGAATTTAAATAATCCTTTGTAGGAATAACTACCTATTAAAATATGTTTTACCAAAAAATATTTTGTTGTCTTGTGATTTCCTTTACCTAAGTGCGTTGTTTTATTATTATTACCTACTAATACCTACATAAGAAAAAAAAATCTCGTCTCGAAGTTTATATAAATCTAGAATAAATAAATAAATAATCAGACAAATAAATCTAGAAAAATAGATAATTAGCATCTTGTGTACCTATGTATTTAAAATATTTTATAATGCCTATACTTATTTAAAATGACGTACTCAGATCACTAATTCAGCCGCCGAACTTCTTTGAGTACAGAGTGTACCATCTGCGCTATAAATTCTTTATAGAAAAACAAAGGAGCGGAGCGGGCCGACATGCGACACAGCCTCCCCGTGCGAACGCTAGTGAAAGACTGAGCTCCCGCATTCGAGTGGCCCGCGTGTGGAAATTACAGGGTATTTTGAATGTATGACACGTAATACAAGATTTTTGAAAAAAAATGAACAACAATTTTTTAGACCATAAAATTATCTATCATTTGGTGAAAGAATCATTAAAATCGCTTCAGCCGTTTAGGAGTAGTAGGAAATTTCTTTGGTGAAATTAGAAGAAAGTTAAGATTTTTTTCTGTCAAAACTAATAGTTGTAACAAAAAAAACGAACAACAATTTTTTAGTTTAAGATTTTATACATCTCACACATATTTTTCTTTCTTGTTTGGATCATCCATTTAGGAGGAGTAGGGATTCAAAGAGAGGTCTATTTTGCAGTTTTGCCTCACCTATCGCCTTAAATCTGCCGAATGTATGGAGAATCGTCTAAATTGTAGCTTTGTTCTTTTCCTCCCTTTTATTATTGTTTTTGTCCGATAAGCGAAAATATTTACTTACTAAAATGTCAGGAAAACTGTATTACAGTAAAAAAATGTTTTTATACAACTCCAACCCTCATTTTGGTTAACTCAACTACTTACTTATTACAAGAAGCAAATAGTTATATTCAAAAATCAATAATTTATCTTCACCTGTGAAGATTTTACTCGTCCCATACAGTTTTTCTGGCATTTTAGTAAGTAAATATTTTCGCTTAATGGATAATCACATTAAAAATCTCACAAAACACACGATAAACCTATACTTAAGTATATTACAAGAAGATAATTATAATTGTATGTTGTTGTACCTCGCATTGTCTCGCAAGAAAAAGATTGGTAATTAATCTGGATGAGTCTTCATGTATCGCAATTATTTTTGGACAAGTCTGACAAGCAGCTTCTCAATCGGCTTAATGACTGCCATTATTAGATATTATAAATGGGTTTTGTTAGGATAATTCTATAATTATTGCAAAATCGCTTGTATGATATGGTCATTTATCATCATGGTCACTCGAGCCGCTAAATGAGTATATTAACGGATGACAAGATTTTCCTCCCTCAGTTGTTCTTTGCACGTGTAGTTTTTTGCAAATAAAAATATGTTCTCGATTATTACCATTTTAGTTTTGTGCTCCTTTTGTGCTGTTCAATCGGGAGGTTTGTTTTTGTGTTTCTTTTATCATAATAAGGAAGGAATAAATATTTAGCTTGGATAACTGAGGACAATAATGCTGTTATTTACTATTAGATTTATGATCAGATCAAATTTTATGATTTTTGGAAGGAATAAGTATTTTTCTTTTTTTTTCTATACTTTAAGGACAAGAGAGGAATGTCACCAAAAAACAGAAACTTATAAAACACTTAAAAATACTTAAAATTTATCACTTGATGGACGCTTAAATACTAGCGAAAACTTGCTTTGAAAGAATAGTAAAAATTGCAAAAATAAGATCAATGTTTAAAATTAAAATAAGGAATACGTTTTAAGCTAATAAGGCAAAAACATATTTTTATTAATTTAATTAATTTATTTATTATCGATGTAAATATAATAGGTAATCGACACAGAAGTTTATCTGTTGTAGAATTATTGATGGTTGGTTCAGTCAGCGTCAAATAGTTCGTGACACCCAAAGTAGCCAAAAAGTTCGCAACACGTCTTAGAATACAGTGTTGTCAACATTTTGGCCACTTGGGGTGTCACGAACTGTTTGTCGCTGAGTGTACCAAACCAACTTGTTCAGTGTCTTTCCCGAGTATTACAAAACCCAAAATGTAGGTACCTAGATGGTCAAAGTTCTGTGAGTGCTAATAAAATCATAGAATGACTCTACGTGCTCGTCACATTAGTGCGCTTTCCATGAGTTTCCATGTCGCGAAACTTTCCTCAATAAAATTATCTTGTTTTTGTCTTGGAATCCACCAAAAGTATATTTTGGATGTATTTTCCTTATTTTTTCACATTACTTCTGTTAGCATGGTCACAATTTCACTGTTTATAGAGCGGCGGTATATGATTACAGTTCCTCCTTCAAGGATCAAATGCAAAATATAATAATTATGCGAATTTATTTCCTGTGTAGAGTAACGCAAGCACCAGTTTTCCTTGAAAGCTTATATTTAATTTTCTAGTTTTTCTTGGTGTCTGTTTATATCATGTAATCGACAATTGCCTTAAATGGTCCAATGTCAGGAAATAATTATGATCTTAAATGGATATCAGTATTTTTTCTAAAACCATATTTGGCAAACAAATTGGTTTAATTAACTTCCTATGCATTTTCTTTTCCATAATTGATAAGGCATCTTAATAGCTTAGAGGTTATGCCTTAGAAGGGAACAATTTCACTTCATGAGATTTTGTGTCTCTCTCATCCCTATTAATTCCATCATCAACACTTCGGCCATAACAAGTAGCATTATATTTGTTTTTTTTTTCTGTTACAAGATTATTTTGTTATTTAATCTCAAGTTTATGAACATTGAAGCCGTTTTCAAGAGTAGTGCCACGGTAGTGCCCCATTTATTACGATTAAATTACTCCAGGACAAAGTTCAAACTACCAAGGATTATTCAAGCGACTACCTTTATGAGCCTTGATAACATCTACACGATAATATCAACAGTCTACTTACTTTAATGTATAATTTTCGCAGTTTTACCGGTCGACAAATGCAAGTTAACAGACTCAACGTGTATGGTGCCAGCCTTCCAAAAGGCTGTCCCCATTTTTATGGCGGGACTGCCAGACATGGATGTCGCGGTCCTGGATGTTATGGAGATGGATGACATCAAGTTCGACCTGTCTGGACTTCAGTTCAGCCTGACAGAAGGCCGCTTGAAAGGACTCAAGACTGCTGTCATTGATAATGTCAAGTAAGATTTTGAGTGCGATATGCTAGGTCTGTTAGTAATTTCGAAGATGGAGTCTGCACGCATAGCAGACGGTCTGCGCATAGGTGGAACATGTCGGGAAAGGCCTCGCTACACCGGCTCCCATCTATGTTCAGCGAGACGGAGATGGTGGATTTTTAGTGGGTAGGCCCCTCCCTTCTGGAGGGGAGAGCCCCACATAACCCGTCGCCTGACCACAGCGGCGGGTATGCAACTCAATGCATTTTTACCACCGAAAAAAAAAAAAAAAAAGGTCTGTTAGTAATAGGCTTTACATTTTATTCAGTTAATGTTATGGGTTTGTATATTTACGGACAGAGTTACTACAATAAGGCTGAGTTTCACCACCTAACTTTAACGGTAACTATGACTATAACCGGTGCTTTTTATATGAAGTTTGACAGATTTTTGACGTTTGTTAAAGATAAAGTAAGATGGTGCAACTCAGCCTAAGTTTGCAAAACAATAAAACCCTTTTCTGGGCACTTAAACAGGCCCCAAATATACGTTAACTTTATATTTCCAAAAGCATATAATTGCTCATATTTTAGATGGAGTGAGAAGAAGAAGAAGTTCGAAGTAGACTTCCATGTTAACTGCAATATAAAGGGACACTACACTGCTGGTGGAAGGATCTTGATCTTGCCCATCACTGGAGATGGACAGATCACTCTGAAGCTCAGTAAGTTCTTTGGGTATTTTTTATCTCCTTGTGGTAAACTAATTTCCTCGGATTTGACTTGACATCATTGGGTTATTCTTTGTAGCTTCAATTGCTAGTTAATTCAAAAATTTTACTTTTTTTTTAAGTTCACACATGTATCAACTCATGCTGTTTGTTTCCTTAATAAATAAAATAAAATATCAAGGCTTAGTAAATATCCCTTCACTTGTCCTCCGTATTTTATTATGTTCAAAGTTATTGAACAATTATGAGTAGGTATTTTTTTACTTTACTTGCTAATGCTATAGAATGCTGACAGTAAAACGGCCTTACACAAAAAATATGGGCACATGCGAAGATTCTCCTCTTTTATGAACGAGATATTTTATATTATCTAATACAAGAAATAATAAAACCAAGAAAAATATGTGTTCCCCTTGTATTTAATAAGTAAGGAAGACAATTTTATGCGTACCTACCTCGACTGAATTTATTGGTATTTCCTAAAACGTAATAAATAAATAACTGGGGTTTCTTTGTAGAAAAAGTAATAGATTTTTATAAATTATTTATAATATAGCATAAACATGATAAAATGTGTCATATTTTAAAACTTAATTTTAGAGATTTTTAACTAATAGGTAACTTGTTAGCCTGTAGTATTTAAAGTAATCACGTCATATTATTAAACTCGAAACTTATAGGCTTAAGAACCTAAACCGTGTATGTATGTAAACAGATGAAAAACATTTTTTACAGAAAATATTGTTGTCAAATTCTTCGTCGACTACGACATCGAAAAAAATGCTGACGGAGATGAGATTGTCGTGCCTAAGAAGTACGATTTCCAGTTTGAGGTCAAGGATGGCGCTCACTTCACTATGACTAACCTGTTCAATGGAAACAAGGAACTTAGTAAGTACTTTAGATAAGTTAAAGATAGTTTTCATAGTCTATCTCTATATCTAAAGACAGCAACGGCAATGGCAAAGAATAGGACCACTGCTACTATTCCCGTAGTGTAGTGCAAATTCGATTCGTAGGTAAATTAGAGAGGGAGACGAGACCAAATGACATGATGATGTTGATGATGACGATGTTGAAGATGATAATGATGATAACGACAGTAAATGTGACAGCTACAAAGACTTCATTACTTAACTAGCTGCGCCCGCAACTTTGTACGTGCGAGTTTACGAGTACATCAAACGTATTCGATATCAGCTGCGTAAAAAAAACATTAAATGTATGATGGATTGTACAGCGTCCCTAGCGGATACTTTCAAGAACTAAAATCGTCATATTTTTTTAACGCACTCGGTATTGAATTTCGTTTTATTGAACTCACACTACGCCCTCTCTTATTGTCCATTAGATACAATAACATAACAGATCATAGCAACCGATGTGCGTCCGTAACTTGACCAAACTCCTTGACCGGGCTGCTGTCCACTAAGAAACTTTTTTCTTTTTATTCAACTACATAATATCGATGTTCAATTGTTTCTACTCGCGTTACGGAAAAACTTTGCACTATAATTTTGCGACACGAATTCACTTTTTACTTGTCGTATAGATGATGAATTTTTTTAAATAAAAACTCTACGAATCGAAGTTTTTTATAAGAATACGGACGCAAGTAAGAAAGTTTGTTGTACAATTGAGACGTTTTGAATGTTACTTGTTCAATCAGCTTTGTAACTTTTCTAATCATAGAGTTGACCGATTTCCGTAATCGTCCTGTGATAATCCGAAGGCAAAGTCACGGAAACTTCCATTATTCTTTGTACGTTATTTATACATTGTGGTCTACTTTGATCGTTGTTAAGGGATAACGTTCCCTAATTGCATTCCTCGTGGGTCCTGTAAATGACAGGGGAAATGATCACTCCATTATGGCTTCGTTTACGTGGTTTATATGGTCGTATGAAGTATTAAGTAAGATTAATAGATTTATAATGGCGAGGCAGTAAACCATGGTTATCCTCGTAGTAGTTACAATATCGCGTTTCATTATTCTATTTTATAGTAGGTCCTATATCAATGCTACTAGATATTTTATGTTCTAAACTTCCTTTGAAAATAATAATGTAAACTTATCCTATTAATACTTCTTATCAACGTTTTTATCATAAAAATGTAGAGTGAATAACCAATTGAAAAATTTTAAACCTAACCAAACCTATTGTACAAAAACTAAACTTAGTGAAATCAAAATTATTAAAAGCTTTTCTATTCAATACTATTCTAGCACAAAATATAGTTGTAGAAAATCACATTTATAAAGAAAAGAGGCATAACTTTCTCACAATAATGTTGAACAAAAGGTTTTTTATTATTCCTCCTTATGAATGGCATTTGCATGATCCTTATTCGCGCCACGTTTGGTCTTCGCTAATACATTTTCGTTGAGCGTTTTATTGAACATTGCGGTAGGATATTTATAACCTAATGATATTGCATTTTATGAGAAAATGCTTTGATTTGGTTTTATATTTAGAGGTTTAATTTTGCAGGAAAATAGAACTAAAAAGAAAGTTGATATACTTACCATCTTCTAGGAGATTGTGGTCGCAACAGGCTACACGATTTTGTTGGAAAATAGCATCTATCACAACAGATCACGGTGTTTTCTTGATCTTAATAGATTTTGTGTACAATATAGTTCATCATCATCACTACTACCTATCATCTGTACCTACACCAAATAACAGAGCTACTTCAATAAGTAGTTAATTCAAACAAAAGTAACTTTTCAATAGATGGAAGAGTTACTTCAAAGAAATATCTCTATAGTTATTGACATATTGGGTAGGTATTTATTAACTAATACTTTTTTTTCTAAAGGTGACACCATGCACACATTCCTGAATGAAAACTGGAAGCAGATTGCTACGGAGTTCGGCAGACCTATAATGGGGTCAGCTGCCAACACACTGTTCAAGAATGTGTCCAATTTCTTCAAGAAATCGCCGATCAAGGACATCGCTGAACTAGTTGCCTAAAAGGAGAATAATTTTATAAGTACAATACTCGTAATTATTGGGATAAAGGCATACAATATACACACGTGTACGTAAATCTTTCGAACACGTTGCAATTTAAATTCAAAGACTTTCTTTAGTTACTGCAACATCATACAATTTTGTATTTCTTCCATTACTAAGTAATTATTTCTATGCCAATTTAGTTTTAACTAGCAAATAACTGATTTCGTTACTATTTATGTTTTATAATCTTTACTATCTGCTGCTGGCCTGTTATTTTATTTATTTATGTTATAAATATTTATCTACACTAATATTATAAAGAGGAAAACTTTGTTTGNAATCAGTTTAAAATTGATTACTAGAAAATTATTTGACAGACGATTTCTACTCTCGACAAATGCATTTGAATTAGCCCAAAGGCTCTGTGATCATGTTCGCACGAACTGAACGAAAAAAGCACAAATTAATTTCGAAGGTCAGCGCATAGAGGTCGCTAGTCATTCTTTTTAATTGCCGATGAAAGTGTTACCGATAAAGTTAATTCTGTTTACTTTCTACCATCTTATTTTTACTAGCTATGCCCGTGACTTTACGCGTGAGAATCGTTTGACGATTGTTTGGTCGTTTTCCTTTCCCCGATAAATGAACACAAAAATATTTTTGATTCGAACCAGTAGTCCCTGAAAATGCGTTTAACTAAACAAACAAACTCTTGCTTTGTAATAAGTACGAGTATCGCCACCGATAGAGGCAATTTATTGATATAATGGAAGAAGTGCTTAAGTTTCTATTACCAATAGTCCAGTTAACCCCTCGTGGTTTTCTGAGCCTATAACACTTGTATCAAACTTAATGAGCTCGCCTAACATTGTTCAATGGGGCATTGAACGTACGAATATCTTATCCACATTATATGGGTTATTATTACTTATTATTATACACAACATTATAGTGTAGTTAAGTTCCTTGCGCTGCTTTTTCTCAGCACTGGCCTATTTAGTGTCCCGAAGCAGTGGTAAGATTAAAATAATGGGACATGTAAAATCCTATTGCAAAAATAAATTTGTTTTATGGGTTTTTTATTACTTTAATTTCTTTTTTTCTTTCTTTTTCTTTTCTTGTCCTGTGTGCTCTACAATAAAGTGAAGTCAGTTCTATCTATTTATCCATCCATAGTATATCTATTTTATTCTATTTTATTTGGAAACCAAATAGTGAAACAACAACAAAAAAAGTACCTACTTCTGCTTCAGAAACTGTACACCTATCAAGTTACTTGAATACTTGCATAACCTGAACAATAAGTATTACAGACTATTATACATTGTTATGGTACATCATTTTTATTTCATATAGACTAGAAACAATCAATATAATTCAACAATATACGAGTATCTAACGCGTAAGACGTTATAGAATCAATATAATACGCGGTTGGTCGCGGAAACGATCCTACATACCAAATAGAGCGTGGTAGAAACGCATTGCTGTGCGCAGCCGCTGCTCTCACGGGGCACTCGGATTGTCGTGTCATGGGAGGACCGATGGGGTAAAAAATTCCATTGATAAACTGATGTCTAGTTCAAAATTAACACAACATACCTACATTGGAAAAGAAAATGAAAAATCTTTATGCCATTTTTAGACCAATACTAGCTGTGCCCGTGACTTCATGCGCGTGAAAATCGTTTGATGTGTATTTCCCGTTTTTGCAAACATTTTTCTTTACTGCACCTATTGGCTACAATAATGTATCTTACTGCGACATATAGATCGTTTCATCCACGAAGACGCGCCCAACCATTCTTACGCTAATGTTTGAGTGTTATCGGTACACGCTAAATTATCCATGAGTGCACTACGCAAGTACGCACACTACAATAATGATTGCTCGGATCAAACTACCCGCACACCACGTTCCCCTCGACCAAAAATAGGTGGGGCGCGTCTTCGTGGATGAAACGATCTTTAGGTACACGTACACACGATCTATAACATAACATGGGTGATGTTATACATTGGGCTAACGCTTGAATACGCTAATCTCAGGAACTACTGGTCCGATTTCAAAAATATTTTTGTGTTGGATAGCCCATTTATCTAGGAAGGCTTAAGGCTATATAACTTCACCCTACAGGAAATAGGGGCGGAGCAGTATAGACAAATGTTGCACAAACTGGAAATATTACTCACACTATTTTCACGCGCATGAAGTCGCGGGCACAGCTATTAATTTATACGCCATTTGTTTTAAAAAACACACCTCCCGGATTCGAACTTTACTCATCACTCACCACTCGAAAACTTTCACCGTCAATGACGTCACCGTTATGACAAATAACGCGTCATAACAAAGCGAGCATTGCCCGAGAAGCAGCGAGTCATTGAGTCAGGTAAAAGTGGCACAAAATGATTTGTATCAATATCCTCGGACAACAGGTATACTAGGGATGTTATGGATATGTAGTTTCGGTTATGGATACGGTTATGGATATAGGAATAATATTATACTGGTTTCGGTTACGGATATTTTTTTATTTCGGATATCCGAAAGTTTTGGTTACGGTTACGGATATTTGTGCTTTAGAATGCAATTTGCAATAGTTGTCCATTCATGGCCGCACACTTTACATCGAATAAAAAGTAAATATAAATAAAAATTGATACTAGATGGCATTATAAAGGTAAATCACGCTGTTATGCCTTTTCATATTATAATGCTATACAAAAAACAATTTAAACTGCCTACATCCGAAACTTTTGAATCGGTTACGGTTACGGTTTCGGATATTTTTTATTTCGGATATACGAAAGTTTCGATTACATTTACGGATATCCATAACATACCTGATACTAACTTAGTATGTGAGTCATTTCGTAGATATTTTTACGATCTTGCATACAGAGACTGCCGGATTATTAGCATTTTTTTACACATTTACGCAGCACGCGAGCAAACGATGAAAATTGGACATCGAGATTTTCTTGGATTCTTATTTTACGAATCACATTTTTAACATACTTCGCACGTCAATAACTCTAGGGTGATTGACCTCATTAGCTAATTGACATATTATTTTTTATTCACAAGCTCTTAGCCTGTATGGAATTGGAAAGTGGCGATCAGGCTGAAGGTGGAAGCGGAGCATTCATTCATTCATTTTCATTTATTTATTCCAAAACAAAATACATTGTATAGGATTGATTAGTTTGACATTAAAATTCACATAATCTGCAATACCATTAAAATAAAATTAATCAACAAGCCCTACCACCAACTTAATTGAACAGAAAAATCTGCCCCCACTGGGAATCGTATCCGGGACCTCTGGGTCTGAAGCAGGTGGTCTTATAGACCACAGAGGCGATTGATTCTGTTAAAAACGACTCTCCCATAGTGTTTGTACGGTAAATTGGTGCTATTCTCACCTCTTGTTCCCACCGCTGCAACTCCTGTGTAGCCAGGATCTACGGCTTGACCCCCAACAAAAATCCAACCAATGAAGGTCAAGTTTGTCCCGGGGGAAAGTTAACTGTCATTGGACCCGCAACGAAATTAATCAGAAGAACATAATTGAGGAGTTCAAAGTTAAGATTCGACTTTTTTTACGGTAAAGTGGCCTATGACTTTGTTAAGTATGCGAATTAGATTGACTAAGTTATTGTACCCAACACCTAAACCATTGCTTAGATTAAAAAGCCTCTCATACCAAACCATACCTAAAAATAGACAAAAATTATCTATTTCAAGCTAATCAAATAAGAGTATCATCAATTTATCAAGAGTGAAGAAAGTGTACCACGATTCGGTCTCATTTCGGACTTTGAGCACTTAGATATTCAGTTCGCGATTTAACCGACATACTGACAAGCATCCTGCTAAAATTGTCAGGCGTCCAAACTCGAAGAAAGTTGGTACACGTGACAGTTTTTTAATTAAGTGCAATAAAACGTTCAAGGACGAGAGGCCTATTGTAATTTACTTTCTTCTTGAACAAGCCGAGACGAAACTAAGAACGAAACATTTAATTAATGGGAATAATTATGTCGTTGAGATAATGTTAACCGCCTCTGTGGTCTAGTGGTAAGACCACCTGCTTCACACGCAGAGGTCTCGGGTTCGATTCCCAGTGGGGGCAGATTTTTCTGTTCGGTTTGGTTGGTGGTAGGGCTTGTTCTAAGTCCGCCTGGCTAGCTATCACCATCTTACCTAAGTCTGTCGCCATAACAACAATGTTAACAGCATTTTTGTGTTCCAGCAGTTAGAGGTAAGATAGCCAGTTCCATCGTGGTTGAGGATTCCGGGTGAAGCTCGCTTCCACCTTCGGCCTGATCATCACTTACCATCAGGTGAGATACAGGCCAAGAGCTTCCTCGTTGTGGATAAAAAAATCTAGATCACGGCGCGATCATAAGAAAATGACAGGTCGCATGAACTGTCATAGGTCGCACGACCTGTCATTGGTGTAGTTGGTCAGTCTGACCCAAAAGCTTTCCGACAAAAAAATCTGTAGACTAGGCTGAAAGTCAGTAATTATTTTTAGAGGATTTTAAAATTAAGGACCAACTACAAGAAGTTTGTAAAATCCTCATGAATCTTCATATTTATTTACTTACCTGAAACTTTATCAATTCTTGCTGGTAAAACTGACCCATTGTCTAAAAGATGCTATGATACAACTGATTCTAAACATCAAATTAATGCTAAATATCATCACCTAACGGTCTGAGTCCTTTTAGATTCGGAATTAAGGCCGCGCGCAGTGAGAGCTACGCGATATTACGTACCCTGAATATAAATTGATGGACTTAGGAGATTCTAAATTCAACTTTTACCTTTTAAGATTCGCGTGCAAAACGTTTTGATATGCACAAAGAGTCGTAGTTTTAAGGTCTAATGCATACCTAACTTATTCAAAGCCTGAGGTATGGCAGCAGCACGAAAACCCTTCCTTTTTTGTTACGTCAATTGTCAGCGAGACTTCTTATTTGTATGCTTTGTCACGAGGGTTCGAAATTATCAAGATAATTGCGCTTCATCAAAATTATCAGATAAATATCGGATAACAGTTCGTTCGTTTCAGCCAAATGACGTCCACTGCTGGAAAAAGGCCTC